TCATGGTCATCTTGATAATTTTTATCATAATTTTTTTAATCAATTCTATGGGTAATGATTATTCTACCCTTGATTCTACCCAACAGACCAGACCTACTGGTATGCTACTAGCTCTGTATAACATAATAGATTGTTTCGATGTTCATAATAATTCATATGGGACAGCAACTGAATATAAGCATTTTGATTCAAGTTGCCATTAATCTTGTTGATATGACCACTCAATACAAACTAATTCAGCGGGGCATACAGATACACAGAAGAAGCATGGCTTAATCATTAATAGGCATAAGTATCTCCACTTTTACCACACTTAGCTCCACAGCTCAAAATGGCCCAAGATCAATGGAAAGTTTCGAATAAGAAAGAAAAAAAAAAAGTCAGCTCAGAGGAGTTTAAAAAAATGTATTTTGTCTTTTGATGCTCTCCTCCAAGAGTCTCAGCGGAACATATCCCTGGTCTAGTTTCAAATTTGCCCAGCTTGAATAGGACCAGGCCTGACCCCTACTAAAGGTTCACTATTAGGCCATTAAAAATATATACATGTTTAGCGTCCCCGCCCGCTTCCTTTTTTTTTTTTTTTTTTAATTTTTTTTTTTTTTTTTTTTTTAAAGAAAAAAAAACATGAAAAACACTGCTAAAATGGATCTATTTCTGATTTTAAAAAAATAAAAAAATAAAATGTTGGTGGCCACTAGCCTGACTGTCAGGGAAAATGTACCGAGCGGCCATTTTGAAAGAAAAAAAAGAAGAAAAAAGCGCCTCCTCCTTCCTATTTTTCAAAAAAACAGGACGCTAAACACGTTTTTTTTTTAATTATTTGGTCTTATACTCTGCCAATAGCCATTCCATTAGAACTCCATACTGGCCAACCTTCCAGAGCAAAATATCAGAAATCTCCAAAAGCAAAAATATGAATAGATTGTATTTTGGATGCCTTTACACCGAAGTTTTAAGAGAAAGAGATGAATCTATGATTCATAACACTACTTTGAAGGAGAGGACAAAAATAGGGAGGATTCCTCCTTCATAGGAATGATTGGTAGCTATGCTGAATAGGGGGCGCTATTCAGGTTCTTCATCTGCATGGTGAAGAGTGGGAAGAGAGGAAAATGAAAGAAGAATTATTCCAGAAAAAAATGCACAGGAAGAGAGATAAAATGGTTTGAAACCATGACAGCCATACTTTCACTTATCTATCAATGTTCTTTACAGCATACATGTACTCATATTAAAGATAAACTTTAGTACTGGTAATGCGATTGCATTGTGAAAGAAAAGGTGTGGAAAGGATCAGAAACAGTTGATCATGTAGCATGAAAGTATTGGTGTGCACTGCAAGGTTCTGGAGTCATCATAATCATAATAAATTTGACCGAGTCTTGGTAAAGTAACAAGCACTCACATAGAAAGCTATATATGGGACAACACACATGGTGTCGGGGCTAGTACTACCTTGATTTCCTTGTCTTTCTATGCTCATTACTCAGCCAGTATACATTTTCTTCCAAAATTGTTTGGCACATGTCATTTATTTGTAATCTTGAACATTCAGTGTAAGTTTCGTTTGATTCTGTGAGAATTTTTTTTTTTTTTTTACCAGTACTGGAGTTTATCTTTAAGTGTTTTAACCCATTCATTACACTTTTCCTTATGTCTCTTTTGGTCACTGTAATGTTGGTTTCAGGATTCTAAAAAAGGGGGAGGTGCAACATTTTGGAAAAATATATAATTGAGCAACATAAGTTCTGTTTGTGAACTAGAATGGTAGACTGGGCATACAAGGGGGACTTGCTGGTTGTGCCCTCCCCCCCCCCCCCCCCCATCCTAATTCAAATCCACCAGTAGGTCTCTGAACCTTTGTAACGTAATATATATTGCCACTGGACTGTTATTATTTACCTACATGTTAATCTTAATCTTTCCATCTTCTAATATGAACACACATTCTGGTTATCGTCAATCTGAAAATACATGTAGTGTATTAAATTTTTTTTTCTTCTCATAGTTTTCTTTGTATTCTTCTCTTCTTTGTTAGTTTTCCTTATATTTAATGAGCACACATTTGTTAGATTAGATTATCACAGGTTTTAAAAGCATTTTAGGGCAGACACATTCCACTTTGAAACAAATGTTAATCACAGATTAATCAAACATTGAACTGGGATCATACAGAAGCAACAAAGAGCTAGGGACATATCTTAAAAAACAAAAACAATGAAATACCGGTATGTTTTACCGTCTTCCTATAAAGACACTATATCTGATGTTACCCATCAAGATATGCTGCTGGGAAAGAAAACCTAAAACTCTCCTGAAGTATTTACCATTCAAAAATGCATCAATGGTTTTTTAATTGCTTAGTTCAGTCAGTTTGTTTGAGTGGGCACAATGGACTTGTCCCCCCCCCCCAAAAAAAAATCTACTTTCCACCAACCGCTCCGTAAGAAAAAGTTCTATTACCCAAAGACTTCTTGGTGAGATTGGAGGGGGGGGGGGGGGTTGTATTTCTTGGTGGGACATTACAATTGCTGTGTGCGAGACTTGTACACCCGTAATGGTATTTCCACCAATCAAACAGCTTTTCAGGCATACCGGTAGCTCTATGCTACATACATCACAAGGACATGTAGCAGATGGTGTCCATTTCATGCAAGATTTAATTAAACTTGAAGCAATTAGAACAGATGGTACAACTCTTGTGTGCAAACCTCATACTTGTAGGTGTATCCAAAATGTTGAAAATTAATGAAAAGTATTCTCAATCAATACTATGCAATTGCATTACTTTCAAGTGCTTTAATTGTACACAGGTAACACAGCAGTGGCAAATATATTTCTGTGTTTATTTAGTTAAGCTGGGAAGGCAGTGAGAGTCTTTAAACTCCAGACTCAGTTTAAAGCCCATCTGCACTAGTTTGGCCAGGAGGGATTAGACCTCCCTGCATGGTCACTGACAGGTGGTTATATTATCAAATCAGCTCTCAATGAACTGTTAACATAAGAAAAAGGGGAACATGGGGGACCAATGGTCAATGATTAGGAATTGTTTGCTATATAGAGGGCGCACATGGCTATAAGTAGTGCAGTGGGACTTTAAATTAATTTTGCTTTGCATGACAAAAGAAACAAGTCATCCTGAGAAACAAGCTACTCAGTGATAAATTTATAAAAAACTAACAAAAAGCCAAAAAAATTACAATGACGACACTTGGGGTTAGATATTAAAAGCTGGATAGCAAATGCAAACAAAACTTTTTTAAAAACTCACCTCCAAGTTGAGGATAAAACTTATGTCACTGTCTTCTAGGCATTAAAAAAAGCAGACTTAATCATGAGAATGCACATCAAAACTGAAGTCAATTTAAAGGTCATAGTTCATAGTTCAGACATTGGACTGAGCCACCGGACATGAAGGTACCATAATGATAATAGTGATGATATATGAGATTTGTAAGGCACCAAACACTATGAACATGATGGACAAAGAAAGCGGACAAAATATACAGTTCCTCATTCTACCCTCAACAATTGCTGTGGTAGACAAAGGAACATCCCTTCACTGCTATTATGTAAAAATGTGTGAATATGCATGTGACACCTGTTTCTACAGATTTTTACATACCGTAATAGCAGAGAAGGGTTGTTCCTTTGTCTACCATAGCAATTGTTGAGGGTAGAATGAGGAACTGTATATTTTGTCCGCTTTCTTTGTCCGTCATATTAATAGTGATTTCAAGTAGAAACAAATGCTCAAGGCACACAAGGTGAACAATAAACAAAATGGGGTGGCCGATACAGAACACAACTTCTGACATCTATAAGTTCAAGGACAGCATTCATACACTCTCATCTGTTTTATTTTCTTGTTTTCTGATCAAAATGACACCAAGATCATCAAAAGAATTTTGTTTCTAAGGCTATTTCTGTCAGGCAACATCGTTTTTTAAAACATGATACTTTTGCAACTATAGTCATGTTTGATGGAGCAAAGAGTTTTCGCATGATAATCGGATGTGTTGACACCCCGGCCCCCCCCCCCCCTCAGTGTTATTTAGGATACGCATATGCATGTTCCCTCCTTTTGAAAACACCCCCCCCCCCCAAGTCCGGTGTGTAAAGTCAATACAGCCCAGATTTTTGTGTACTACGAGCGGGACTTGTACCCCTTGTACTTGAAAAGTACCCCTTTACCAGACATTTTGGGAACATGCATGGTATCCCTCCGTTCACGGAGTGGGGGGGCCGGGGTTGACACATGAAGTCATGCGTTTGTAAGGTGCACATGTAATGTCAGGTGTCTCCGTCATCCAAAATACCAACTTCTACAGTTGTTTAGGGTAGCATGCTTCTGCAATGGCTTTTTTCTTCATTCTGTAAAAATGTCTCTTGTCATTCCATAACCAGAACTACTGGACCCCATTTCACAAAACTTGTCATCAGTGACAAATGGCAGTTTTTGTTATAAGCCAGTAAAATCCTTGCTTCCGATTGGTTATAGTAGACATAGTAGTGGAGGTTATTTTACCTGACTGCTTAGAAAGTATAAATGTTGTTAATAAGCAACCAGAGGACCAACTGCTTCAGGTCCTCTCCGAGGGACCTGGTAATAAGGATTAATGCCAATACCAAAGGGCACTATAGCGCATAGACTTTGTTTTCGAATTACGAGACCACTGCTCTACCAACTGAGCTATCGTGCCTCCTCATTTGTCACTTTGTGAAACGGTACCTTGGTTAGATTTCAAAACAGTACAAACACCAAAAGCTCATATTCAGAAGAATAGTGGGCAAATTAGACCAGGTTTAACTTGGTCCACTCACATATGGAGTATGGAGTGTCAAATTCTGTGTTTTATAGAAATTACTGTAAATCTATTCTAATGGGGCACAAAGTGTAAATCTCTTTGCTTTTTTAAATATCAGTGTAATTCTATAACAACAAAAAATAGATAATTAATTCAGCCATGAAAAGAAATTGGACATTGATTTCATGATGATATGATATACATTTGTTAATTTAATTACACAGTTTTAGTAATCTTTACTGCATGAGGGAGGTCGACACTTGGCATTTCATAAGCCAGAGGACTTAATCTACCCAATTATACTAGTAAAGAAATATAATAGTATGTATCAAAGACACTGATGTAGGGGTCTAGAATATCTTAAATTAACAACTTGACTACACTTAAATGCTAGTCTAGAAGAACAGACTCTGTTTGATTTTTCAACATAAATGATGGGCATTCAAAAAAGAAGAGTTACTGCATACTAGTAGTCTATATTCTGGAACTTCCAGACCTTGCATTACAATACCACAAGTCTTTTTGATTCTAAATACATGAATGTAAAAGTATAGTTAACTCTGAATATAATATGTACAAAAGGCTTTTGAAGTAGATAAAAATATGTGCAGATCACCCACAAACTGTTCAGACTATCCTGAATGTTTGATTGAACGCTTCCACACTTTAACGTTCCAAACATATTTGACATTTACAATATATATATTTGCACAAGGCTGGATTGAACACTTTTAAATAGACTGAAACAGTCATGGTAAAATGATAACAGCTGCACAATGATGTTTCAAAAACGTCTTCCAGCTGGTGATTACGACTTTTTACTCTTTGATTTAACGTTTTGAAGGCGATGCTCACAACTAAACAACGCTCGATACCGTGGGATCCGTTGTTACCTTGGGGACGTAGCCGTAGAGAAACGTTGCTGAAATGACGAATGCAGCCCCAATGAAAAAATAGCTGAACAAAGAAAGAAACATAAAAAGGGGAATATTAGACAAAAAAGCCATAACATAGAACATAGAATCTGGTCAATTCAAAGTACATTTGGGGAAATGCTAGGTTCAAATCAATTGTAAAAAGGAAAGTGCCATTACAAAGATGGACTGAATAATATGTTCCCTGTTAACAGCAAAAAATTGAAGTAAGAAACTTCAGAATTGACTCACTTTAAGATTCTTTTATGGTCAGAACAGCCTCATATATTATTGTATTTAATACATTTCTTAGCACATTCAGATGGGACAAAAATAAACTCAGCCTGTAAATGAAAATAATGTTACTAAACTATCTTAAACCTTTTGCAAACAAAAATCATTGGTTTGCATCATTTGTATATTGAAGTAAATTAACAACTGGTCACAGAATTATGGGAAGGATATCATTCTTTTAAATAACTACAAGGAAATTTAAATATTACCTACTCTAAAAAAGCCTAATTAATTGGCATTGCTTATAGTAAAATATTTTCCAACATTATTTTTCCATCCGATGATATAAATAATTTCATCAAAAATAGATTCTAAACCCCTTTCCTTACCTCGTCGGTGTAAAATCATTCAGCAGATAATAGGAGATTACGGTGGATAAGATGATCGATAATGATGTGGCGAATCCTTTCAATATATTGTCTGCATACTTGATAACAGCTGCTATGATGAGGCCACCAAGTGCCTGGTATGATAAACATAAGAGAGAGTGATCAATTAAAAAAGTGAGCCAGATGCACAAATGTTAAGGTGTCGTGGTTTAGTGGTTCATTCATTTGGCTTGATGTAATAAGCGCTACATATATCCCAGAATATTATTATCAAACATAACAAGGCAATTGAGAGCATGGCTGCTGTTCCTTATGAAAAGTTCTCACAACTGTAAAGGAAATATTATTGTTTTTGAACCATACAATTTTGCACATTGAATAAAATATAAAGCCTTTTGAGACAGAATGAAATTAAGGCCAAGTGTATCTTGATCCCAGAAAGAAGATTATGTTATCTATTTTCCTGGAACAAAAATCATATGTCTTCCTGTAGCACACAATAGATAGAGAGAGGGACACACATACAGACAGACACAACAAACAGACAGACACGCAGACAGATACTAACCTGTCTTTTATAAAACTATACTCCATGTGATCATTGCGTAGCTTTGAAAAAGGTCAACCTTTGCAATCTTTCACAATATAATACTCGTACTGAAACATACACACAGTCTTACAGACAGACAGACACACACACACACACACACACACACAGACAGACAGTTGAACAATACTGACCTGGATTTAAGAGTACTAAACTTCACATGATTATTGTGCATAATCCATGAAGAAAGCCAACTTTGTCACTTTGTAAATTACTTTTCATGTAATACACACACAAGCAAACACACACACCCTTACAGACAGATAAACAGACAGACAGACGATACTGACCTGTAAAATAACTACACTCCATGTAATCATACAGTAGCCTTGAAGAAAACCGTTCTCCGCGACCTTGGAACCGTCTTTTCCTATAACACCCCCTAGACCGAAGATTACTCCAAAGAATGCTACAGAATATGACAATGGAAGAACAAAGAGAAACAAAATGTACATGAATTACTTTCTCAGTATATCTGACTGGTCTCATGAATTAATCTTTCATTTTTTTTCTTCAATCGTAACTCTTCAAAATATATGATAACAATAGCTGAATTCTTATTACAACCTAGTGAACCTCCATATCTTGCAATTACTAGTGATGAGCCTGCCAGGACGGCACAATAAAAGTTAGTTTTGATTTGTTTAGCTTTGTTTTACGATTTGAAAATATCACTGTTTAATTAATAGCAATTAGCAATTCTGAAAACATACAGATTAAAATGTGTAGGTAGATGTAGCTAAAGAGAGGTCAAAGCTTTTGAATACACTTTTCTTGAAATGTAAATCTGTTGTCCATGCATCTATTCCTACCCTCATCAAGGGCAACAAATCAATCAATCATCTAGTATTGAGAGTATGCCCTACGTAGAGGTGTCATGGTCGAGTGTTTTTAACACTTGGACTGGAGATCGAAGGTCACGGGTTCTAAACCTGGCGCAGCGCTAGTGTCCTTTGGCAAGACATTAATCTACATTTGCCACTCTCCACCCAGGTGTTAAATGGGCACTGGTTGGTGGCCTAGCAGAGCCAGGGTAATATTGGAATGCCTTGAGCACCTTGCTTGGTGGATATGTAAACTATACAAATAAACGTATATCATTATTATTATTATAATTAATTTTTTTTTTAAAGACTCTTTCTGAATCAAGAAGAATCAAACAGTTCCCAAACCCATCTTGTGAGGTGGAAATCCTTCACACTGACCTAGTTGTATATTCCTGAGCCATAATGATTGCTTCGTGCCTTTCAGGATCTTCTCAAAGTAGACACCTGCAAACCCACTGGAGAAACACGCACATAGGACCGCTATTAAACCGATCAGCTCGGACGACATGGAATGCTCCTCTTCTTCTTTTGGTTTGCTTTCTGAGGGCATCTGTGAAATCACAAGATTGAAAAGGACTTTAATACATACTAGATGAATCAGAGGCCATTGTCTTAAAGGCATCGTTTAATAATGTTAAATCTGACAAGCATGGCCCTACGTGTTAATATCAGTGTCAGTGATATGGTGTAATATTGAAGCTCTAAAAAAATTGCGCTTCAAAATGATCATGAAGTGCCTCAAATAAGTAAAAATCTTTGAGTGACTGGTTATACCATACTTATTTTCCCCAATAGACTGTAGTGTTATAAAAAACGTTAAAGACAATGTTACACGTTGGACAGGCAATGTCTAGAGGTTATTCTGCATGGTTCATTATGCTATAAATAAGAAACAATCGTTCCCACAATGTTCCCCAAACATAAAGTGAAATATCTATCATTGTAATAACTTTGTCCTTACAATTTCAAACTGTAATCCATTCTATAGATGATACTTGAGACTGATTACTTACTTGAACCAGGGCTACTCCAGCCATTAATAGGATCAGGGATATCCACTTTGATGCATTCAATTGCTTCCCCAGCATGAACACTGAAAACATGGCCGTTGTAAGGATCTTTAACTGGTAGGTCACCTGTTTGGGGAGATTCACAATTAAGAAAAGATGAAAATTAAGAATAGATTAATTGTAATACACATCAGGATGCAGTAAAGAATCCATGACCACAAATTACGCAATCAAAAATAAATTAATCCAAATGGATTACAATTAGGAGATTTGAAACTTATAATTAAACACAAAAAACAAAGTCAGTAAAGAAAGAGATAAAGAAAATGAGAGAGAGAGAGAGAGAGAGAGAGAGAGAAAGAGATGGAGAGAGAGAGGAAAAAAAAAATATATATAGAGAGAGAGAGAGATGAGTTCTGCAATACACATTCTGGCCCACAAATAGTTCACCAGTATTTCCATTCCCCTTATGAAAGTATACAAAAAGCGAAAGCTGGATCCCTCTTCTTTCACCATGCTTTATTTGAATTAAAAATGAAAAACAACAATACCCTCATCCACTATGGGGCTGGCTGCCTAGGATGTAAACATACAGTATACCTGCCACATGTACATTAATACTCAGAGTCTCAATCAATGAAAATGATTGATCAATAATAGACAGGGGTGAAAGGTCATGCACCTGTTCCAAGTATTATAGTCGGCTCCTAATTAAAAAACAACAAACATGGCTTGCATTCATCTGGTCTCATTCTCAAGGTACATATAACACATCCCAAGGGATATATAGACCATGCTTCCATACAGTGCTCGTAATCAAATTTAATGCAATTTTGTTGTTGTTAAGTGCCATGTTACAAATCATTTCATTCACCTGCTATGAATAATTGTATTCAATAGTCAGAATCCAAAATTGCATACATTGTTGATAGGTAGAACAAACATTATGGCTTGCCCTACCTAGCAACATGTAATACATCCAATTCTCATTCTGACTATTGACATACATTTATTTGTAACAGGTGAATGAAATGATTTGTAAAGAGGCACTTGACAAAGATTTATGTATTAGGTTTGATTACATTACAAAAATGGCCCATTCTGGAACTCACTTCCTTCCTCATTTCGTGAGATTGACAGTCTAAAACACTTCAAATCACGCATCAAAACTTACCTACATGTATATCAGCAAATGTGAAATACTGATTTCAGTCAATGCTATTGATTCACTGGAGGAGCCTGCGCATTCGAATTACTTCAAACAAAAATAAATCCTCTCATAAATGATGTGAATCATTATCATCATACTGATTTTGTAAATTTTGAGTATACATGTGTTTGATTTTGAAGATTTTTGAAGCAATTAGGTGTGATATCATAATAACCTCTTTCTTGTCATATGATGTACAATGGCGATGAATGAACCAATCACTTGTTAATGGGTGCGCTTATCATCCCTATTTTTGCTAAAAATCAGCGTTTCTAACGTGTTTCAGGCAAATTTGCATGGCGATAAACGCAAACATTTTTAAGAAATGCACATACATATTGGACCTTCCCAGGCTAATTTCCAGTTTGGAGAAATAGCATGACGAATCGTGATGAGTTGATAAAAGTGACATCCCGCAAAACACATTAGTACAGTGGAGTACGATATAGAAACGCTGTTTCTGAGTGGGAAAAAATGATAAACGACTCTACGACAGATGTGATTGATGTTATGAGTACCTGGTATGTGGCTGCGTCCAGATGGGAGAGCGCAAGGAAGAGCAGATTGTTCTGGAGTGTGTAGAGACCGGCTGGGATTGCCAATTTGAGACAGTCCATAGGGCTGTTGATGATTTCTTCTCTGATCACTTTTGAAAAGCCTTCGATCGTTCTGCCTCCTGCAAAATAAAGTAGAGACGTTTTAATTCCAAATATTGGTTTGTAGTAATACATGAATATGAAGGTCCCTGGTTTTTAAAACCAAAACCAACCAGACACCATTATACTTGTCAGATCTACTGGAGGAGAAGAGATCCTCTAGACTTGGTCTACGTTCAGAAAATGTCCACCAGTTTCAGGAAGCTCGAACAAGGCGGTCTTGGGGCGACAGGTCCTTCTCTGTAGCAGCCCCGCGTTTGTGGAATGCACTCCCTTCATACATTAAACAAAGTAAAACAATTGAACTATTCCACAAGCATCTAAAGACCTACATGTACCTTATGAAGGAAAAATATGATTAACTCACATGAACATTTCAATGTCTTACTGAATCTGTAATTTGCATTTGGTTTTTTATTTGTTGATTTATTATTAGTTTGTTAATTTCAATTTGTTTATTGCTTGTATTTGAAATGTTAATAGTGAATCTTTTTTGTGCGCCTTGAGTGCCATTATAGGCAGATATGTGCGCTATACAAATCTTAAATTAATATTATTATTATTAATATTTCAAGAACACTGATTGGTTAAATTAATGACTCTTAAATACAATTCATACATGTAGGTTCTGGGGAATGTTTCACAAAGACTATTGAGATTGACTTCAAGTTGGACTTAACTATGGCATACCACTGTTTGCTCTCATCATTTACTGGCATTGGTCTCTCATGGGAGGTACAATTCATGGTCTCAAATCTACAGAATTGAAATTTTTAAATAATTCACTATTGAAGGAAAAAATATTATCTAAAGATCATAATGGTGAGAGCAACCAGTGGCATGAATTGCCTGCTAAGTTAAGTCCAACGTAAAGTTGATCTTAGTCTTTGTGAAACACCCCCTGTTTAATATGGAACTTCAAAGGATAGAAAATAAACCAGCAGCCTGAAAGACTGGTGTGAGTAGTGTCCCTTGTATCGATAGCAGTCATACTGATGGTAATTGCAACAACATGGAAAACTACTTCTACTACCACAAGCTCTACCAATACCACAAATATAAGTACTATCAAGAAGAATACCTGCATGAACACTGTACCATCTACTTATCTTATAAAACGACTATAATGATCATCATCACTATCACTAACATCTCTACAACCAGCACTATCACCTATACCACTACCATGTGGACTACCACCATCACCTCTACCATTATTACTACCACTACTTCTACCACTACTTCTACCACTATCACTACCACGACCGATACCACAACCACTACTTCTACTACCACAAGCTCTACCGGTACCACTACCACAAATATAAGTACTATCCAGAAGAAACCTGGATGTACCATCTACTTATCTTATAAAACAACTATATGATAACCATCACTATCACTAACGTCTCTACAACCACCACTACTACCACCTATACCACTACCATTCAGACTACCACCACCACCTCTACATTATTACTACCACTAATTCTACCAATATCACCACCACTCCTACCACTACCACCACCACTGCCACTACCATTACTACAACTACTACTTCTACCATTATCACCACCCCTGCCACTACTACAACTACTACTTCTACCACTATCACCACCCCTACCACAACTACCACTCAACTCACCCTCTTGGAAGTATACAAGCAATATACAGGCCACTATCTTCATGCACTCGGCCATGACAACGGCCGTGGAGCTGAGGTAGCGTGGTCCCTCCGACTCGACGGTCCTGGAGTACCTCATGGTCAAGACGAGGGTCGTCGTCTGGACGATCAGGATGCCCAGCGACAGGTACTTGAGGTTGTACTTTACAGTGTTCATCTGAAAGAGGGATAGGAATGAATGAAATCAATAAGACTCAATTTGTTAATCTATACACCGATTCGGGCGACTTCTGGTGGAAGTGCGCCCTCATAAGGTGACGCCATAACTGGGGGGCATCTGACTGCAGCTAGCTAGCTTACATTGCATTGCAGCAGACGGGTATGCTATACCTATACCGAACCTCGCCCAGGCCGGCCAGGGTCGCTGCTCCGCTAGCTAGTAACCGCTCTCGAGCTCTCTGTACTGTCAGCTGGATCGGAGAAGCCCCCCAGTTATAGCGCCGCCACCGGCGGGCAGGTACATAAAACCCCCAAACCGAATCGGTGTATAGCATGTACTACACATTGAATTAATTGAGTAGTGGGAAGAGGTGAAATATAATTCGTGAGCGTTATCATTGTATTATGCAAGTGTGGAAGAACATCAGAGAAAAAATGGTCCCTGAAAAGCAAGGCTCTTCAAATGCCTTAATATTCTAAATATGGCATGTAACATGATAAAAATCAGGACAGATTTTATGCCACATGTTCTTGTAGCCCCATATGCATCTTTCTATGTACAGTGCTTGTAACTTTGCCAAGACTGGGCCAAATTTCTTATCATTTTGATGATTCATGATGAACACCATGCTACATGATCAACCTTTTCTGATTGATTCCACAACGTTTCTTTTACAATTAATGCAATCGCATGACCAGAATTAACTCAACTTTATCTTTAACATCTCTATACCAGTATGCTTTCAATATTACCATCCTAGCCTTGATCTAAAGATCTGACATTATAGCTCCTGAGACAAAATGCTCTGGGCTTTATTACCTCAAAAGTATAACATTAAGGTTATAGGTTTTAGGTTTAAGCATTAAGATTAGGTTTGGTGTTCATTAGGTTTAATGTTAAGAATGAAACAAATGTTCCGCAGTCCGCACCAAATACAAGTCTATACATATTACATACCCTCTACAATTTCTATCATAAAAAGTAACTACAGTCAAACCTGTCTATAGCGACCGCCCAAGGGAAACACTAAAAGTGGCCTTTGTAGACAGGTGGTCTTTGTAGACAGGTTCCTTTAGTACATGATTCAATGAGAAACCATTTTCAAGGGAAACAACAAATGTGGCCTTTGTAGGCAGGTGGTCTTTGTAGACAGGTGGTCACTAAAGCAGGTTTGACTGTACTCTTAAATAATAAATCACATCAAAAGAAACAGTAATTGGAATGATGAATGACATTTGAGCAGATGGGACCGCATACAAATGTGAATGTTTTAGGAATTAAACTAGAGCGATAAAACATACAGTTAACGACTGAATTATTAATACCCCTTGTAAATTCTGTTTTTTGGTCCGTGTTTCCTAACTCAATAAGAAAAACAGGACCGGTTGAATTAGGGCCTTTGTTGAATATTTTTAGATGTAAGCTTTGATATATACCGGTATTACATTCTCAAGAAACATAAATGGGGAAAACTTGATTTTTCACATACTTACAAATTGACAAAGTTGGTAAGGGTATGAATAATTTAGTTGTTAACTGTATATCCATGGTACAATTTCAGAACAGCATATATAAGGCAAATTCAATTTAAGGTTTAAAAAAATAAAATTATGAAAAATCAAAAATGCAGATTGACAAAGAAAATCATGGAAAAGCAAGACTCAATAATACAAAACTCCAGGTAATATGATACAGAGTTCATAACTTCACACCAGTTAGCGAATTTACCATCTTTCAAATTAGTATTAAATAACCAACAAACTACAGGTACAAGCAAAAGTACTAATACTACCAGTATACTACCTGCATGCTGGTGCACAATTTTGTAATCCTGCAGTTTTACTGACGGGAAATTGCCCGTTTTATTGTCATGAAATAATCTTCAACCAAGAATATAGTCCACTACTTCTATGTTTCATAGATATAGCATCCCTCAATCATTCCATTTGTGACATGCAGGCAGAACTATCAGAGTTTAGATGAAATCACTTGTGTCTACTTGGCACTTTACCAAAAAAGTACATGAGATTGTACTCTAGTAGAATTGACTGTTTGAAAGAAAACAGAAGAGGTAAGGAATATAAATACAAATAGACAAACAGTCGAAACAGACACACCCTCCAAAAGTCCCTCTAAAAATCCCGGATCATCCTGAACGGCATTTGCATATCTAAATATTGTGTGAATACATGTATATGTTAACAATGAAGCATCGTGCATCATGATACAGCGGGTACCAATGTTAATATATTTTCATTTTCATTTGCATGATTAGCTTTTTCAAAGAGTCATAGATGAGAACAAGTCAAATCACAGAAAGTGAAGTGGAGGGGGAGAGCAGAGAGGGGAAGGGAAGAGGAGAGAAGAGGGGAAGGAGAGGAGAGGGGAGTGGAGGAGGGGAGTGGAGGAGGGGAGAGGGGGTGGGGAGGAGGGGAGAAGGGAGGGGAGAGGGGAGGGGAGAGGGGGAGGGGGGGAGAGGGGGAGAGGAGAGGGGGAGGGGGAAGGGAGAGGGGGAGGGGAGGGGGAGAAAGGGGGAGGATGGGAGGGGGAGAAAGGGGGAGGATTAGGATTAGCTCATGTTGGAATTAGCATTTTCTTGATGTTGAATTAATTTAAGCGAGGCACATGTCAAAATGAACGCAAAACCCCAGGCCCCCCCCCCCCCCCCATCCTAGAACCAGTCTTGATTACTGTCCGTACTCTATATCTTTGACAAGACAAAGCAGAAGGCAAGCAAATGTTGCCAAAGCATTGTATTGTATTGCAGAGCCCCCCCCCCCCCCCCCCCAGTGACAAATCTATTTGACAAAGATACCGTGTCGCAGGCTTGGGACTAAGCCAGTATAAAGTCTGACCATAACATTCAAGAGTTAAAACTAAGACCCCGTTCTCACTCACTTCGTTGGAGCGCTCTGGAGCGCTCTAACTAAGACCCGCTCCTCAGGAGCGGTTCTTAGGTGAGTGAGAACGCTCAAAGTGGTCCAGGAAGCGGACTTCTGGACCGCTCCAGAAGTCCACCTTCCGAGGTGGTCTTGAGGAGCGGGTCTTATTAAGAGCGCTCCAGAGCGCTCTAACGTGCAATGTGAACGGAAAGTGTACTTTGAACGGAAGTGACGTTCCGCGCGATGAGCGATCGGGCAGGCACTACACATATACATGTATACAGGACGCGTCGCGAACGGGACATCAGGTGACATAGGGTTTGGATTCCGCGCGCGAAAAAATTGACCCGCCTACCTGAGCTGCCATAGCAACAAGACCACTTTGACTCGTGGAGCGGTTTGAGCCATAAAAACTGCTCGGAGTGTGAACGCTCGCAAACCGTTCCTCAAGACCCGTTCCTCTGGAGCGGTCTGGAGCGGTCTAACTAAGACCACTTTCAAAGTGAGTGAGAACGGGGTCTAACCTAAAAAGTTAAGGGTGCTCTGGTATGTAAAAAATACAGAAAAACTTTGATGATTCAAAGACAACAATGAAAGGCAAGCATAATTACACAGATTTCAAGCAAACACATGCTAGTTTGAAATGTTTGTCTCCGATGGGGCAATGAGATGTTTCCTTCACCTTCCACCACATAAAGCGATTAGACAGAAACATTTAAAGCCAGTCTGCACTAGTTTGGCCAGGGGAATTAGACCTCCTGCAAGGTACCTGAGTGATGGGTTTCTCATCAAATCAGCTCTCAATCAAAAGAGGATCATGGGGGAACAACAGGCACCGATTAAGCAATTGTTTGCTATATAGAGGGCGCAAGTACACTTTCACCAGTCTTGTTCTCTGAATAATCTTCTTTTTTTTTTTAGATTAGTTTTCCTGTAAGGTTTACAGTCCCTCATGTGAGCCTGATAAGATCCCGAGAAGAAAGCTTAGAAATCCCAAAATATGTATTTAAACTCACCTGAGGATCCTTAATCATGATTTTGAAGAACCAAACTTTCCTATCAAACTAATGTTTCCTTTTAACGGTGTCTGCAAACTGTAATCCAGACCAAAGCCAGAAGCCTTTCACACAAGAAGAAAATGTGTATCTGTAATTCGTAAACTTTTGCAAAATTGCAATTCATTTATAGTGAAACTGTAAAAGAGGTAATGGCCTACACAGTAACTCATGCATTTAAATATAGCACAAAAGCAGCTGTGCAACACAAAGTTGATCTAAAATGGTTGTGTGCTCATGATAGTAGACTGAGCCTTGAGTTTCGCAAAAGGTAAACATGACTCAATGTTAGGGTTTAAAGGTACTATGTCCCCTTTGCAGGACAAAAAAATGAAAAAGTTAAATTCCAACTGCATTTGAAAGATAATACTAATTTAGAACTTCCCTAAAAGAGGTGGGACTTGAAAATGTCTTCAAGTGGGAAAATAACGACTATTAGTTGTCAAATCGACTTTAGGGCTATAGAGCCCAAAAGTAATAGTCTTGATTTTCAGACAATTGCACCGAATGGTCATACGTTTTATGCTGCGCAAAGATTCAATCAGTTTAATCTTGGCCATCACAAGAAGTGGGTTATTGATGTAGACAAATGCTCATGTGCCCTTTACAACTCTTTTCATGTATGTTATTACCAAAGAAGAAAAAAAGCCAGTCAGTCACTCAATAGTGTCTGACAGTGAAGTCTAGCAAGTAAACAGGTTTCCTTGTATAATTTGAATATGAGGACACTGCTAACGTTTAAATTTCACAGATAGGACATACATGACATATTCATAATTCCTGCAAAGTTCTACAGAATTTGAGGTTGGCTGCAAAAGGGACATACGTACCTTTAAAGGTGGTTTAAGAGGAAATGTTATGATATGTAATAAATTAATACATCAGAGGACAGGAAGGGAGAACCGGTTCGAATCTGTTCAATTAGGATCAAAGTTTGTTATTCGAAGATCAACAAGAATTAGCAGGGTACAGACCTACATGTAGGTGTTTTTGCAGTATGTACTGTAAATTTTGAACGCATACAAAATCAACTTGTTCAAATATTGGTAGGAAAACAGATTTGTGGAACAGATGTGCAAATAGTCCTACACATGTAATGAACACAATCACATGTATACCAGGGTTGGGCGGTAAATACCGGTGGCGGTAATTACCGGCGGTAAATACCGTCCGGTAAATAAGATGCGCGTCCGGTAAATATGTAAAAAACGAGAAATATGATTTTAATTCTCTATTTATTAATAATTTTACTTGTTTTTAGCCTCATAACTGAAAATATTGTTCTGAAATACTTAGCAGCACAAAACTCATAGTAGGAACACACAAACAGATTTATAAAATCCTAACTGCATACAAAATTGTACACACCCAAACAAATGGCATTTTGTTCATATGCTAATTAATAGGTATTCATGAATATGGTAATTAGTAACTGGGAACCAAAACCTTCATACAAGTTACTTTTATTGTAAAGTTTAAGATATTTGAATAAAATCAGTGAAAATTTGAACAAAATCGGGCAAGGAATAAGGAAGTTAAAGCTTTTTGAAATGACTAGTCACTAGAGGGCGATATTCAATTTGATGACATCATTTGTGGACAACTCTCCATGCCTTTTGTACATCAAATTTCATGTTTTTCCTTCTTTCTTGTGATTGAGATAATAGAATGCAAAATGATATTCTACTTCACATGTTATGAAATCCGATCAAGAACACAAATAAATAGGAAAAAAACGAAAGAATTGTGAAATTTGATGTACAAAAGGCATGGAGAGTTGTCCACAAATGATGTCATCAAATTGAATATCGCCCTCTAGTTCCCGAAGCAGGAAATATGCCAACCCTGATGTATACATGTGCAATCTGTTCAATTTTTCATTTTCTGTTACTAATTACTATCGTACATTCATACTAGAATCTCATTACTAACAAGGCATCATCTTGTGTTGAATTTTATACAAATCTAATACATAATAATAATAATAATCTTTTAAAGTCCACTCCAAATTTTATTATATTAAACCGAAAAGGAAATTCTTTTTGCCTAATTGATCATGAGCTCGGCAGCCACTGAGCAGCGCCAGATCGATGTTGCTCTATCCCTTATTTTGTTGAACGCCAAACAAGGTAGCAGCAACTCCCGTCTTTTTATGTCTTTTGGTATGACGCGGCCGGGGTTCGAACCCACGACCTCCCGGTTGTGAGGCAGATGCTCTACTTACTGAGCCAACACACCGGTCAAAATCAATTATTATAAATTGATATCTTTCAGGGATTCTTAACTTTTATTCTATTATAATTTTTTTTTTTTTTTACTTCTCTTAACTCTTCAATAATTAATCTATCCATGTTTTCAATGCTATTATTTTATTTGTATTAAAGGTAAAGACCAGTTATGGTCATGCGATTGCATTGTGAAAGAAACGTTGTGGAATCGATCAGAAAAGGTTGATCATCTAGCATCTAGCATCTGCAAGGTTCTGGAATCATCAAAATGATAAGAAATTTGGCCCATTCTTCGTAAAGTTACAAGCACTATACACAGAACGATGTATATGGGACTACCCTATATCTCTCACGGACCATGAGAGAAACAAATTTACCAAATATATGAATTAGTAGGCGGTTTCCCGGCAAATTTTTTATCATCATGTATTAGTCAAAACATATTCTTTCACATGATTGGTAATGAGAGCTTCCATTTCATTTTTTGAAATTGGGGCATTTCCAATACTGGTCTTTACCTTTAATTTTCTCTTTAACATGCATTGATTATTGGTATCAAGATGAATCCTTTCAGTGTGACTTTAAGCCATGCACATGCCCTTGGGGGCTCTTGCAGTGCACACTGAAATGATAAAAAATCAATTGGGATTTACTCAACTCAATCAAAAGATTAAAAAAACCTATATTTGATTTATTTACTTGTGTGTTTAATTGCAACTCTCTGTGAAAATCACTTGCAGAGCTGCCAACCCCATCTGAACAAAAATCCTATTTTTGATCGTTAAGTACTTTCTTGTTGTTAGACTGTGTTCGTTGATATCTTGAAGAATTATGCACAAGTACATTTTACAAACATTTTGTTGAATATATGCAAGTAAGAGTTTGTCATGAATGATTGTTCAATGAACCAATGAACCAATGAACCAATGTATTTTTATGGACCATTATAGTTGAATATAATATGCATGATTTTGTCATGACTGGTGTGTTTGATGAACCGACAAACATTTCCAAATTGCTGATGTGAGATGCTTGTTGTAGGATACTCTACAGGAAAGAATGGGCAATTAAAAAAAAAAATTGTTGGAAAATCATATTTTATTGAGGAAAAATTGTATGAAATACAATAAAATCGTACTGGTTGGCAGCTCTGCACTAGTTTATCTCTTTTGCTGGCTCCCTCCTTTTGTGGTAAAACAAACACCAAGCCATCAATCAGAACTGTTTAAAGCAATTATCACTGCTCTAGCTATCAACCTACGTGTCATACAGTGACTGAGAGTAATATGCCACATGTACATTCGGTACCCTGACAGAAGCCTCCAGTGACAACTGCTCGGGGCTTTATTTCATCCAAGATACAGGGTTAGATTGCAAATGGGGTGCGGGTTAGGTCTAGAGTTAGGATTAAAGGGATAGTTGAGTTCTGTTGCAGAGGGTGCTACACAAAGTAATTTTTTGTGAGATAATGAAAATCTGAGGGTCAAATTTGAAAATCATCTTTGTTTGATCAAAATCGGTTCAAAAAAGGCTGAAATATCCATATAACGATTTCTAATATTTGTGTACCGGTACTCAACAAAAATATTTGATAATTTGAAAAAAAATGTTGAAAAAACGAAATAACGCTTTTTACGTTGTATTTCAGCCAATGCCGATGTTGGCTTTTTTGTTATGGTTCTTTTATGCCCAACCAGCCGGCCCATTATTATTAATTAATCAATTAATTAACGGTCACCATATTTTTTTGAAATTAGAGCCAAGTTGGTATGATCGTATTGGCTAAATTTCACACATTTTGGGGTCTAAAATTACCTTCATAGCAATTTTAGGTCCTCACAGGGCACTAAAAAGTCATTAATAAGAATAAGAGCAATAACCATGCACTTTGAAGGCATTTGCGGTCTGAAAACAGAACTCAACTATCCCCTTAATGGTCAGGTAGGCGAGTGTTTCATCCAGGGTTTCTTTAAAAAGTTAAATAGAAATAAAATCAGGGTCTTCTAACTCTTCTTTTGATTGGATATATATATATATACAGTCAAACCTGCTTTAGTGACCACCTGTCTACAAAGACCACCTGTCTACAAAGGCCACATTTGTTTTTTCCCTTGAAAATGGTTTCTCATTGAATCATGTACTAAAGGAGCCTGTCTACAAAGACCACCTGTCTACACGGCCACTTTTTGTGTTTCCCTTGGGCGGTCACTATAGACAGGTTTGACTGTAAAAATATTGTATCCTCTTACTTGTAACTTTTGATTCGCTTGTTGTAAAAGGAACCTTGAGTTTCCTCAATTTTATTAATTCTTAGACGCGTAGCGGCGTAAGTGACACAGGTTTTCATCCAAATTTGATGTTAGTATCATTCATGCTAATGATGCTACAAATTCCCTTACATTTTTTTCAAACAGTTTGATAGAAATCAAAGATTTAAGCCTCATAATCTCTTTTGTAATTTAGGGGGGCGGGGGCATCGAAGGAAGTGTCCAACAGTGCTGCGGACCTGCATACTGTCTTTGGCCTTATAGTGATCTGACAAATAAATGTATATTTTTCAGCGATATTATCAAAATTCAAAACCATGAATTTCTCTGTTATCATCATGGTTTTGTGAAACTTCCTAACAATTCTGTAGGTCACGGACAAAGATAACACAAAATAGGTGACCCGCTGACGTTGACAACACAAATTATGGCTGACCCGCTGACAACACAATTTATAATCTTTTTAGATCCACTTTATTGACAGTTTTTGAAATTGTGGGGCTCAAAATAAATCAGACAATAACTGACCAAGATAGTTGGGTGCCGATAGTCTACTAGAATCTAGGTTGTCTAGACTAGTTGAATCTGTTGATGGTCTGGATCTGGATGACTGGATCTATTGTCTATTCTTCAAACAAATTAGAAATTAGTCCAGACTCTACATCCAATTAGACTGTAATGACTACAGAATTTAGTTAAACAATATCGTGTTTTAGTCAAACTTCAAAATACATGCAGGAAGGACCGTAGGAGCCAATTAAACAATCGTCAATACGAACCTTTTTCTCTTTCACTTTTTGTCTTCAATTTCAAATTTGTTTTATCTCCAGAGTCATGCCCATCAGTTATTCTGTATTGGCTTGGAAGTTGGATTGGATCCAATCTTGATCACAACAGGCAAATGGTAAAATAGTATCTCAGAATTTCCCCTTGGAGTATTCAACGAATTAATACAAGATGATGTTTAACTAGATTATGGAGGCAATTCAACAACAATGCAAACTAGCTGCTCGGCTGGCTGGCTGGTCTGGTGATGTGTACAGGAATTCGCAACGTAAGTCGGCCAGCGTAGCGGCATAGCATAACGGTACGGTAGCACAGTACCGAGCTCTACGGAACTGTGAGCACTTTTAGGCCCTCTATCGGTGATTGCATGATAATAAAAATGGCAGCCTCCATGCGAGTCATGTTTCAGCACAATATCAACAAGTTTTTGCTTACTCCCGCATCATGGAGACCAGTTGCAAGGACACTGAATGTATCTTATGCCCACAGTAGCAAGGCAGATGAAGATTCGTCTATCGACAAAAATCCCTTCTACGAGAAATACGCAGACAAGTTAAAGAAATTGCAGAGGTAAGTAAATTATAAAAAACATTTTGGAAATTGTAGCCCCAGTGGGCAGTATCAGTAAATAAAATGTGTTTTCACCTTTTGTTTGAATTGTTTTCTTTGACTGTCTATATTTATAAGCAATTAATGAGTTTATTTCAAAGATTTAATTCATCATTGTCATTCGATTACAGACTTTTGTTAATGATAATGAATAGTCTAGATCCTATTATTATTAATTAGGTCTAGACTATTTTTGATAATAGGTCTAGATCTAGACCGAAAGCTTCAGTCTCTATAATCGTCGGTTGTTCCACTGAGACTACGTCTGGCTCCACTAGACCTCCGGTTATAGAGACTGAACGACTGCCTATGCCAGCCTGTGTTGAACTTATTCCGCTAGATTTTAGCCGCTAGGCCCCTCCCACAAACTTGCCACGGCCGTATTGTTATGCCCCCAAAATCCCCCAAAATGTCATTTTACCTCGTTCATTTCCAATTTTAAATTAGGCCTAGGCTATAATACATCGGTTCCACTTACTAACTTGATTGGTATTATCCGTTTAATGGTCCCTTTTAAGGAAATTATCGGTCAAAATCGACATCCATGTTGAAAATCTTGCAAGCCGTGTTAAACTCTCGCTGCCGTCAATCTCATCCCTTGTAGTCTACGCCGAAGGCAAAATGATTATGAAGGAAAAACTGTGCGCCATCTACACGTTCGTAATGGCGTTATCACAGTAAGTCCGAGCGGACGATCGGACGTGCTTTTCAGAAGCTCTCTAGGAGCTTGTAGATTTCTTGTAGATTTCTTGTAGAATTTTGCCAATATTGTTAAAAATTGCCTCAATACCGGATATAGTTGGGACTGTTTTGCTTCTTTATACTGTTGAACTTTGGATTGAAACTATAGTGGATTCATACAAGCCTATACTTAGGATCAGAGTCAAAAGGTAAGCAAGTCTTGTGGGCTACTAACACATACCGCACCCTTAATTACACGGTAGACTGCACACAATTGAATTTCCCGCCCTTTTCAGGCAACCAACCAGGTCATGGCCGGAGTGACAAACACCGGCCAGGGCGAAGAGCCACCTCTTTTACAACCCAATGAAGAAGATGAATTTCGAACTGTAAATTACTCTCGTAGGGAGCAAAAACCGAGAAATAAACGCAGGCGCGAAGGAAGCATTGCAATTGAAAATCTTTCAATGAGAACAGAATCCTCTTCCTCAGAAGACCAAAATACAACCCAGAACCGCCAATCGGAACTCAAAGTCTTAATTACCCCCATAGATAAATCAAAATCGCTAAAGAATGTGAATCCCATTACTATAGCTAGAAATATCCGTGAAGCTTGTCCAAACCCTGTGGAATTTATCAAACCCACAGCCCAAGGTCTCCTTATCAAATGCAAAAACCAGAAACAAGTAAAAGCACTATCTCAAATTAGTAACATAGGAACCACCCCAGTAAAAGTTGCAGAAAAGCAGCAAGTTGTGAGAGGGGTCATATATGGAGTACCTACAGAAATGACTGATGACGAAATTCTCAATGAATTGAAACACCAAGGAGTAATTGATGTAAAAAGAATCATGAAAAGGTCCAAATCAAATGTAAAATCAATTGAAATTGAAGAAAGCAGACCCAATTTTATCCCAATGAGGAGTGTTATTATAGCATTCAACCGTACAAACCTCCCCAGCAACATAACAATGTGCTATCAACATTTTGAGGTTAAACTATACATTCCCCCCGTTTTGAGGTGCTTTCAATGCCAACGCTACGGCCACGGCATAGCTCAATGCAAAGCAAAGATGAGATGCGTCAGATGCGGGGAAGACCACAAATTTGAGGAATGTAACCGAAAAGAAAGACCGATATGTATAAATTGTGGTGGGAACCATTCAGCAGCCTTTGACGGCTGTCTTGAAGCTAAGAAAGCCAAAAAGATACAAATAGTAAAAGTCAAAAACAATCTTTCATACGCACAAGCTGCAAAAATACAGTCGGAGCAAGAAAAAGCACAGCAGAAACCACAAGCCAACCTCCCTGAATCACATCCCTCCCTCGATGTCAACTCAGATAACCTCCCTCTTCCTCCCCGACCAGTGAGGTCATCCACAGCAATCCGCCCTGAAAACGCCACCCCGCAACTTGATCCCCAGCCCTGGAACACCCCGCTGCAAAAAAAACGCACAGAGCAGTAAATTAATAGATAAGGATGGAAAAACTGAAGTAAAACTAGAAGCCCTCCCTCGAGGTAACCTAGTAACATTAATGAGTGATGAGCAAATAATCTCTTTCATTACGCAACTTGTTCTCATTTTTACGGATGGAAAATCCGAGAAGGAGATTTCATCCTTAGTGAAAGTGGCAGCTGAGAGACTGCTCAAACAAAGAGTAAAACATGACGCTAAAGATGTACTGGTATAGCATAGTAATGATGATGACAGCGCTAACCATATTACAATGGAACGCGCAGGGACTTCTTAATCACGGTCCTGAACTTATAAAATACTTAGATTCATATAAAGATGTAAAGTACCATTTAATTTGTGTTCAGGAAACATGGTTCAATGATGATAGAATATTGCAAATCCCTGAATATACATGTTTTATTAGAAACAGGGAAAATCAATCTAAAGGAGGGTGTGCCATTTATGTACATGGTTCCATCAACTATGAATATCCTGTCAATGACGAAGAATTCGAAATACAACATATTAAAGTTCATGTTGCTGGATCAAAAATCTCCATAATCAATTTCTATAACCCTTGCAAAAAATTAAACGAGATTGTTTTGAACAGGATGATTAACAAACTAGAATACAATCTATTCCTTATAGTTGGGGATTTCAACTCACATAATCCTGTGTGGGGTAGTGCAAAGATAGACCAAAATGGGCACACAATTGAAAATTTCACACATGACAATAACTTTATAATTTTAAACGACGGAAGAGGAACCAGAATAGATCCACGCACTGGGAAAATGTCATGTTTGGATCTTAGCATCACCTCCCCCAAACTATCTTGCCTATGCTCGTGGGAAGTTTTGCGGCACACCCTTGGTAGTGACCATTTTCCCATCTCCACCCAGATATTATTGGACCGAGCAGGGAAAGTAAACAGCAACAGCGAGAAGATAAACGAGGAAACAACTTGGTCTTTTAAAAATTTTGATTGGAACACTTTTGCCGAAAAATGTGAACATAAAATTGAACATAGTGGCAACTATTCCGACCCTACGAAAATGTATAAATGTTTTATGAAAAGTTTGTCAGAGACTATTAAAGAAATAATGCCCCAGAGGGGAAAGAAAAAACATGACCCTGTACCTTGGTGGACAAAAGACTGTACACAAAGTATCAAAGAAAGAAACAGGGCTAATAATAGATTAAAAAGACACATTTCAATAGAAAATCTAAATACATATTTGAAGAAAAAATCAGAGGTACAAAAAACTCTACGCCAAGCAGAACGAAATTACTGGCAAGAATTTTGCTCAAGACTCAACCGCTTTGTACCAGAATCAGCGGTATGGTTTACCATTAAACGGTTAAAGGGGGTATCTGTCAAAAAAACAAAAAACATGTCAGTCCTGATAGAAAATGAAAAAGAAATCACATGTAACAGTGAAAAGACTGAGGCTTTCTCTAAGTTCTTCCAATCAATTAGTAATGTTAAAGAATGTCCAGAAATAAAAGAAAACAAAAATGTTGAGCAACAAGTCACGAAATCACTGAAGCGGGGAATGGAGCATATCTTGAATGAACCATTCACTCTTTTTGAATTGCAAAAAACTCTAAACACATGTAAACAATCAGCTCCTGGAAAAGACAAGATCCCTTATCAGGTTTACCAAAAACTTCCTCAGAAAGCAAAACAATATATGCTAAAGGTCATGAACTTGATATGGGATACGGGTAGCATACCTCCCAGTCTGAAACACTCTATCCTAATACCTGTGTTAAAACAGAATAAAGACCCCCGAAAGGTATCGTCGTACCGACCCATAGCACTTTCCTCATGTTTTGCCAAGATACTAGAACGGATTGTGAAGAATAGACTCCAATGGTATGTAGAAAAGAACAATATACTTCCTCCCCTCATGACTGGCTTTCGTAGTAAACGTGGGGTCACGGATAACATTGTACTTTTAGAGAATGCTATCCAAAGAAGCATTAATGTTGGTGAATATACTTTAGCAATCTTTCTCGATATTGAAAAGGCATATGACAGACTTTGTATCAAAGGCCTTATTTACAAACTATCAGTACATGGTATTACAGGTAATATGCTCGAGTTTCTCTATAACTATCTGAAAGAGCGGACTTTCCAAGTAAAGATTGGTAAAGAAGAATCAAAATTATATGAAATGTACAACAGCCTCCCCCAGGGGAGTGTCTTAAGTCCTATATTGTATAATATCATGATGAGTGATATTCCAACAGATGAATTAATCACCACATCTATTTATGCTGATGACTGTGTCATCTGGATGTCAGGTAATAACATAGAAAGTATTTCAAACAGAATACAGTGCTATCTGAACACATTGAGTGAATGGTTTACTAAATGGGGCTTTCGCCTTTCACAGAGTAAATCCTTTCCAGTGTTATTTACTAAAAACAATAAAGCAAAATACCCAGAACTGAAATTAAACAACGACGCACTTTTATTCCAATCAAAGAAGCATTTCCTAGGACTTATATTTGACAAAAGACTTTCATGGAAGACGCACATAGATGCCGTAGTCCTTAGATGTAAAAAGAAACTGAACATTCTTAGGTGCCTTACTGGGACTACATGGGGAAGCTCCTCGAAATCCCTGCTAATGGTATATAGAGCATTGATAAGATCGTTATTAGATTTTGGTTGTGAAGCCTATGACAGTGCGGCTCAAAGTATAAAGAAATCACTTGACTCCATTCAATATCAAGCCTTGAGAATTTGTGCGGGAGCTCTTCCTCTTACATCATTAGATTCACTACAAGTTGAACTAGGTGAAATGCCCTTAGACTTAAGAAGACAGATGCTGGCGGACAGATTCAGACAAAAGATTGAAATGCATCGAGATCACCCTGTCATATTAAACGTTAAGCCCAGCTGGCAAATGGAACTTTTGAAGCTCCAAAAGAATAACAAGCCATTTGGATGCAGAACAGAACTAATGAAACATTGTACTATCGAACCTTACACTATACCTAGTTTCCCCCCTTGGAAAATTAATGCTCCAAAAGTGTCGATAGAATTAAGCGAAATAGTGAACAAACATGAAAACCCATCTTATTTACGTCAACGCAGTTTAGAATTGATCAGTACCAAATGGCCAATACAACTACACATCTATACAGATGGGTCAAAGGTTCCAAGTTTTGGAATAAGTTCTGCTTCTTTTTATGTACCAGCATTCTCCTTTCAACAAGCCAAACGATTGGCGGATCACACCTCATCTTTCAGAGCCGAATTGGCTGCAATTGTCCTTGCGCTTAATTGGCTAGAGAACATTAATGTGTATGTTGGCATTGTTATTTTTTGTGATTCCGTAAGCGCCCTGCTCGCCATAAAGGATGAAAAAGATATTACATTTGTAACTGAAATTATTACATTAAGTACAAAATTATCGTATCAAGGAAAACACATACACTTAGAATGGATTCCTAGCCATTGTGGTGTACACGGAAATGAAATGGCAGATTTTTATGCAAAATCTGCTTTACAAAATAACATTGAAATTTGTAATAAATTATCCTTTTCTGAAATAAAGAGTATTATTACCAGCAAGTATATAAAACTCTGGCAAGACAGATGGAATAATTCTGATAGATCTCTTAGACATATACTGCCTACAGTAAATCAACCATATGAATGTAAGTTGAACAGATTTGAAGAAAGTATTCTCCATAGATTAAGAATAGGAGTGATAGGTTTGAACTTAGATCTCTTCAGATTGAATATACACTCGACAGGCCATTGCAATAACTGCATAGGACGTACTGAAACTGTAAACCACTTTCTCACTGAATGCCCAAAGTACATAATAGAAAGAGCTATGTTACTCGTAGAAACTGATTTATCACATCCACAGGAAATCATGACACTACTTAAACTTTCAGAAATAGTTAAACAAAAAGCAATAGTTCGCTTCGTTTTAAGAACAAAGCGGCTGTATCCAAACAATTAAATTGTTGTTGAGTTTTTTTTTTTTTTTTTTTTTTTTTTTTTTTTTTTCTTTCTTCTTCTTATCTTCTCTTTTCCTTTTTCTTGCACCAATAAAGCCCACAATACTTGTAACTAATTTGACCATTTACTTTTCTAACAATTCGGTGATCACCTCCAACATCACATGCTAGCTGGCACCCCCTCACCTATGCCGGAGTGACCTAGGTTAAAACCGAAAGTCTGCGAAATATACCTCAAAGACTGGTAAGATGGCATTTTGAAAAGGGTGGGGGTAAGTGCGAAGTACACATGTGCATACGTGAGGTGATATTTGAACGCGCACGTGCGCGTAAACACAAGTACGTACGTTTAGTTTTAGTTTATAGGCGTTTTTTATTCACAACTTGCTAGGCCGTCGTCTCTTTCCAAAATTATTAATTTATTGAATTTTCTCTCTAAAAAAAGTTATAGAGTCTAAAAGGAAAAAAAGAGGAAGAAAAGAGGATGGAAGGAGAAAGAATCCTAAAAATAGTCATTTATGACATGAAATTGTACATATATGTATATATATAAATAATTCATAAAATAGTGTGTGGCAAAAATAGTCAACTGTGACTGATTGCCAAACAAAAACAAATCAAGAAGAAGAAGAAGACGGCAGCGAAAGTTTAACACGGCTTGCAAGATTTTCAACATGAATGTCGATTTTGACCGATAATTTCCTTAAAAGGGACCATTAAACGGATAATACCAATCAAGTTAGTAAGTGGAACCGATGTATTATAGCCTAGGCCTAATTTAAAATTGGAAATGAACGAGGTAAAATGACATTTTGGGGGATTTTGGGGGCATAACAATACGGCCGTGGCAAGTTTGTGGGAGGGGCCTAGCGGCTAAAATCTAGCGGAATAAGTTCAACACAGGCTGGCATAGGCAGTCGTTCAGTCTCTATAACCGGAGGTCTAGTGGAGCCAGACGTAGTCTCAGTGGAACAACCGACGATTATAGAGACTGAAGCTTTCGGTCTAGTCTAGATCTAGATCTAGTATTATTGTTGTTATTTATTTATAAATTATTATTATTATCATGTCTACTCTAGACCTTTTATTTATATAAATTAGGTCGTTGGCATGGTATTTACTTATGATGTTATGCATGTTTACGTATTTTGCTTTAAAATTAATCCAACGATGAACCATGAACTACACACTTCACATGCACTTCATGGCACTTGATCCCCTGCTTGCAACTACCGATACTCGCCTCACCCCACGCCCCCCCCCCCCTCACCCCATCTCAATAAGGCTTCCTCAGCTCAGCTCACCTGTGTGAGCTGCTACACTCATCAATTATCAAGTAACGATGTGCAGTGCCTATTCATTAATCAGTTGGGATGTCTTGATGCTTGAATTAGGTCTTAGCAGGGATTTAACCTGGACTTAAGTTAGTTAGCTCTTGAAAATACATTGATTTAATTTGATGTAAATAAATTTGTGAATTGGACCCTTCTTGTTCTGCAGTTCTAACCCTGAGGAATACCAAAGACGTCTTCATTTGATGAGAGAATCTGTAAAGAAAAAGGAAGATGTCACTCAAGAGCAAACTCCCACAGTGAGTATTTCATGGGTAGATCACACATCTTCTATCCCATTCTCCTCCTTCTCCTCCTCCTCCTCCCCCTCCTCCTCCCTCCCCTCCTCCTCCCTCCCCTCCTCCTCCCTCCCCTCCTCCCCCTCCTCCTCCTCCTCCTCCTCCTCCTCCTCCTCCTCCTCATCCTCCTTCTTTTCTATTTAGTCTACAACCAATATACAAAGTTTACCCTTTCTATGTTAAACATTCACATTTTATTGTTATATTGATGTACTTTTTGTTTGGATGATAAACTTCAAACTTCAGAGTCTTCAGACCCTGCTTTGTGAATTAAACTAGATTAAAAAATGTTTCCGGCATGCACACCTACATGTAGCTACCCTCTGTGAAGTTTTCAAAACCGTGCTGTTATTTTTTTTCTTCATGTCTTTCACTTTCAATTCCATGCTGTTTTTTGTTGTTGTATTTTTACAGCTATCAGATCAGCCAAGGCCGAAGTTAATGTCTGGAACCAGTGGAGAAGAGAAGGTAAAAACAAAAATTTAAGAAGATTGTTAGTGATTTGAATAGTAAAAAAAGTAGTTTGCTATAAAATCTTGAAGTATACTATTGTCAACCAGTAATCTCTTGAAAGTCAAGATCATCATGTCATTATATCAGGGAGTGGAGATTGTGCACACAGTGTGTGTGGGCAAGCACTGAATCCAACGACTGGGGTAATAGTATATTTGTAAAGGGCTTAGAGACATTGTATTAAGCGCTATATAAAAGCTAAGTATTATAAATATATATATCTTAGGCTAATTTTAAATTGTAGATCTATGGATTTTGAAAATAAAAAGTGAAAAGAGAAGTTTAATACATGACTCACTTTCTTCAATGTATTGCTTCCCTCTCACTGTAACCCCCCCCCCTCTCTCTCTCTCACCCCCTCCCCCTGGCCCTTATCTATTGTATTCCATGTCCCTCTTCTCTTGTACTCATCTTCCCTTCTTTCTTTCTATCCATCCTTTGTTTTATCCATCCTTCTCTCTATCCATCACACTATATTCAGGGATTGGACTCTGTGGTCAAGGTAGATCTACTAAGAAAACATTCTGCAGAAGAAATAACAGAGGTGAGAAGAACACACTTTTTGTTGGTCAAATGTTACAGGATGAAAATGAAAGGGTAATGATGGAATGTCAAAATAGAATTTCTTAAAATACACATGCACAACAGGGCAACCTGGGTTGTTTGCTTGCATTGGACTATAATTACGTACCATTGTTGATAACATTTATATTGAAAGTAATCTACTTTTCTACAATGATACATTTCTTAACCTTAAATACACTCTACATGCTCCAAGCAAAATCTAGTTTTGAAATGCTCAGTTCTTATTATTACCAACTCTGTTAATCCTTAACATAAATATTAAAAATGTGATTGAAAAAAAATATTTGAATTGGCTTATTCAGTGTGAAATCATGTAATAATCATCTGTATTTTATGTTGAAAACCTTTCTTTTTCAGATATGGAAAGGCTTCCACCGTGAAAAGGATTTCATTTGCGCAGTCATACCTGTAAGTATACATGATTCATTTCTAACTTGATTTACTTTAAATTAGATAAAAAGTTCCTGAGATGTGTAAGTCATTGGCTCAGAATGTAAATTGCCCTTTAATTTTCTATGACAAATGATGCATTTTCCTAGTGCAGGTGTATTATTGTTGTGTATCTTAACCTTTAGCTGACTGCAAGTTTGTATTGCTAACATGATGTGACTTTTAAAAATATCTTTTTCTTTCTCTTCATCCCTTTTGTATTACAGAAAGAAACCTATGCTAAAATACAGCAGAAGGCAAAAGAGTTTCCTATGGTAAGACAGAGGGACAAGCTGGACAGAGAGAGAGAGAGAGAGAGAGAGAGAGAGAGAGAGAGAGAGAGAAAGAGAGCGAGCAAGAGAGAGAGAGAGAGATAAAAGAGAGTAATAGATAGATAGAAATGGTGAAAGAGAGAGAAATGAGGGAGCACGTTCAACAAATCCATCTACCCGCTGAATATGAAAAGAACTACCGGTAGCTGTGTTACCCCCACATTCTGTAAAATATCAATTGAGAACAAATGTGCAGCTTGTTTACGCAGCTGACATGTTTAATAGTGCAATACAACAATACAACGATATAGAGTGATCGCGGTAGAGGTTTACGGTACACCATGTGTAAAGTCCTAGAAGGACTAAGGAAAGTGGATAGAAAATAGAAGTGAAATGGAAAGGCGAGAAAGTGGAGGTTGGAAGGAAGAGTATCTTTCGGAAGTGAGTATAGTCCTGAAAAGGACTGTAAACCAGAAAGTTGTAGACAGGATGAGAAGTTTGAGTAGAAGACTGGATTGAGTTGGAGAGTTGAGTAGAGTTGCAGAGCAGGAGCAGGAGAGTAGACTCGACGTTTCGGACAGGTTGACTGTCCGTCTTCAGGAGTGTTGACTGTCCGTCTTCACTCACTCCTGAAGACGGACAGTCAACCTGTCCGAAACGTCGAGTCTACTCTATTTTCTATCCACTTTCCTTAGTCCTTCTAGGACTTTACACATGGTGTACCGTAAACCTCTACTGCGATTATTCATACCACCATGCAAACCTTCAAACATCTTCTGATATAGAGTGAGTGAGAGAGAGAAAGAGAGAGAGAGAGAGAGAGAGAGAGAGGGGGGGGGGAGGGAGGGAGTAAATTCTCTACATGTATTTCATTTTTGTGGTATGAGTGTTATAAATTGAAATAATGGCTAGGTTGGTGTCTGAACAATTGGCTCATTTGATCATCCTTATTGTGTTGTTTTTCATCAGATAACCTCAAAACATACACAAAAAATTAAGTTTTATTTATCATAGTCCCAGATATTTACAATCTAAATGATTAAATGGTATTACTTTTCTTGATTTTGTGAACCAGTTCCTGTATCCACTACCTAGGGATGAAGGGTACGAGTTCTTCTTTGCCCAATTCTTCATTGACAGCTGTTACTTCACCTCGGTCATTAATTATCAGGTAAGTTCTTATTATTATTATTAATATTATTAAATATTTGGCGTCACTTGTGTCTGGAGATCTCGGCCATGGATTGACAAAATTAATAACTTAAACTCGGCAATTAAAAAGAGTAATTCTACACAAATATAGATATGGAACTCAAATTTTTGTTTTAATAATCACCTAATTAAGTGCCCTTTGGAACATGTTCATTACAAGAATATTACTAAGAGAGTGGTAGGTCTTATTCAAGCTAACATTAATTCAGAACAACTTTTTGATTTATTTCAGGCGTACCAAGAAAATGCTCCAGCACTTCTGACTCTCACTCACTACACCGAGCTACAAGAAGAAAAAGGTACTGTTCCTTTCATCAATTCAGAAATTCAGCAATGTAGCATTGGCTATACTCATTTGTGATGGGGTGCAAGTGGACTTTTAAAAAGTTTTGTAATGAAAGAATAATCTGATTTTGAATATAATTACGTGTATTTATTTTACTGAATGTTTTTATTTTATCCACAGGAATTGTACTGATGAGGGGAGAGTTGGACACAAAATATTTGGTAAGTTTGTTGTAAAAAAAGAGTGACATTTTTGTACTGCACGCCCCCACTGGCAGCTAAGCTGGTCCTAGAACCATTTTATGTTGATGTAGTGTTCTGTTTACCGGTAGCTGCTTGTACATCACTCTGCATATCTCAAGCACCACTTAATACAGAGGTGAACTTTGACCTTGGCACCACCGAAGATCACCTCAGAAAAATAAAGTTATTCGATTTAGGGGTACAGCATTTAAAGTAGGAAAAAGATTTATATGCAAACAGGAATATTAGTTTCCTCCATGACAACCCCAAAATAAGACGGCAAAAAGGATGAAAAAAGACAGAAAACAAAAAAAAACACTATGTATCAAACTCTTTCATTTGTATATCGAGGGGTCAGTGGCACAAAGACGTAACTCCATTTTGGCCATTTTGAGAAAAAGTGGTTTATGTGTTACCGAGCACTTGGGCCTTAATAAGGAGTTAATTCATGTTTCACTAGCCATTGATTTCAATGGGGTGTTTCGGTGGAGTTAAGTCTTTGTGTTTCCTGGAAAGCCCACATTTTTCTGAACATTTTGATATCATTTTGGCAAAATATGGAGTTTCGTCTTTGTGTCAATGAACCCGCGATATCTTCCATTGTCATCCTACATGTCACTTTTCTATTTTTGTTTGTGTTGTTTTTAGACCGTTCAGCAAGCCCAGTTCTTTGCCAATGAAGTCCAGCTCTACTATGCTTCAGATGACGCAGACAGATTGCGGTTGCTAAGGGATTTCAACAAGAGACCAGCCGATTTTAAGCATGCGGACCTGATAGATCAGCTATCAAACACAACCGTCAACTTGAGCTAACCAACTTTAATCAAGACAATTGAGAGATTTTTGGATGAAAAGTATTCCAAAGACAAAAAGGCAACTTGTAATGGTGATAACAATCTTCAAGTATTTCAACGATGACATATTTTTAGTTTGATGCAGATGGAATGTGTTTTCTAAGGAACTACATTGTACAGAAAGAGAAATTAACTGATTTCAAACATATGATCCTGATAGATCAGCTCTCCAAAACGTGAGTCGACCTGAGTTTGCCAGACTCGTTGAACAACAAAGAGATGTTCTGTTGCACCGACAAGGTTTTAAGACAGAAGAAGATGACCTTCATTGTGAGATGTGATGTATAATGGATGTCCAAAACAAAAGATTTCAACCAGAGACCAGGGACCCGTTTCACAAAGCCTTTTTTCAATGACAAATGACAGATAACCACTCAGAAGCAAGGATTTCAGTAGCTTACACCAACAAGAGGGCATAGTCTCAAGCTTGCAAAGCCGAGGTGTAGGACAAATGTAAGGAAGAACACATTTAGTCACAGAGTGATTGACGACTGGAACTCTCTGCCTGAAGTAGCAGTTCAGGCTCCCACCATAGATGCCTTCAAAACCAGGCTTGATCATTGCTGGAAGGAACAGTGTCATATCTCTCAATACTCGAACTGATTTCTTTAATTTCTTAATTTTCTTTCCTCCTGGGACAAGATGCAACCTCTTGCCCCTCTGCCTCCCTTGTATATACCGGTAGTGAGAATTATCATTAAAGAGAACGAGTACAAGAAGATAGACCTGGAAGCTTGACTGCTGTCTCAGCATTCTTCCAGTATTTGCGGTAACGTAAAGGTAAAGTAAAGACTGTCATTTGTCACTCGGATGACAAGTTTTGTGAAACGGGACCCAGACAAGTAGAAGCATGTGAATATGATGGGTTAGCTTTCCAAAACAGTGGTCAATCTGGGTTATCCAGACTTGTCTGACAATGATGGGATGCTTTGCTGCATTGAAATGGCCTCAGGACAGAAAAAGGAAGGTATGTTGAGAGGATGGCAGATGTTCGACTTGAACAGTAAGTTTTACTGAGCTGGTCGACACTGGATGATCAGTGTTTATGATGCTGGTTTTGTTCAAACACTCATGTCTTACACTCTGTGATGCTCCTAGTGATCCATCGTCATTACCCAATTCATAGCCGAGCAGCCAGATAAGTTGCGCTCTTGCATATCTGGTGCCCATGTACACTTGGATGCAGAGTGGCAAATATGGATTAATGTCTTGCCAAAGCTCTAATCAACCCTTTGATTAAAGGTCAAGAGAATATACCACTCTACCGTGACACCTCCTCAAGATGTGTTTTGAACAAGACTGTCCCTCAGATAGGATGTTAAATGGAGGCCCCATGAACAGGAGTGCAGCCAACTATGCATGTGAAGCAGGGTTTTTTCATCCCCTTTCTCTCTCCATTTCCCTCAGCCTCACTCTCTGTCCCCCTCCCCTTACTCTCTGTCCCCTCCCCCTCATTCCCTGTCCCCCTCCCCCTCCCCCTCACTCTCTTTCCCCCCTCCCCCTCGCTTTTTTCCCCTCCCCCTCGCTCTTTCCCCTCCCCCTCGCTCTTTCCCCCTCCCCCTCGCTCTCTTTCCCCCTCTCTCTGGCTCTTTACCTCATAAACAAGTCCTATCATTCATTGTTACTGAATTTCACAGAGTGATATTTTTAGCACATCATGTAAATAATTTATTCATATCATGTTACAATGTTGTGCTCTTCAATAAAATACTTAAAATGAAATGCTTCACACACATCTAATGTAAAGTGTACTTTATCATGCCAATGTACCTCCACATCAATTAAAGCCCCACTGCACTACCCAAAGCTACTTGCGCCCTCCATGTAGCAAACAATGCCTAATCGGTGACCAATGGTCCCCCATGATGATCCCCCCTTTTTTTTTATGTTACTTGAGAGCTTATTTGATGAGATAATGAAGATCATAGTTACACAATCGAACTAAGACCTTAGGTACACCATCTTGTACAGAACACATGTGGGAGGTATGTCTTCATCAGCTCGAGATTGCCAAATAGCCCGGTATTTCTGATTTGAGAAATAGCCTAAAGTTACAAATCGCGTCTTCATCAGCTCGAGACTGGACCTCGAAGCTTGAGATATTTTGCTCAGAGTTCGCGCAGTGCGAGTCTTCGGGCTGGTAAAGATGCATCAGAAAAAAAGCAGGTTATTTGGCAATCTCGAGCTGGTGAAGACAGGCCTATGAATATAAAACATAACAAATCAAAAGTTGATTGATTAAACCGCAAACATGTGTAGCATTGGTAAACATGAATTTATATAAAGCCAAGGTTTATGATCTCATTGAAAGTAAATTGACTATTTCTTTGCTATGTTTCTTGGCATGCATTTGGTATATAAGTCACTGAAAGTATAAATTCATAATACATGCCCCATCATGTGGAAAGAGATTGTCAAATAACATAATTGTGCAAATAAGTTAAGTTGCAAATTTACTCTTAAGTAAGACTAACAACTACCAAGGCACACAAAACAAAATATACACCAGCCATCCACAGCATGAGTATGTCATTCATATCTTATTTAATATCATTTTCTCTAAAAATTAATAAACCTAAAGCATCTTGACTAAGTCAGGAAATTGATACATGATAAACGATCAATAAACAAACCAGAAACCAGACATTATCAAATGTGTAATTGCTGCAGAAGAAAATTATATATTCATGATGACAAATTAAGGTTGATGCATTATAATATGCACTGTAAAAAGACACAAATATTCATGTACAGATACATGCATCATGCACGAGTTGATTAAGAAATGTAGATCTTTTTTTTTTAAAGTACAGTGTCTTTCATAACTGAATGTACATGCAAGGTACCAGTAATGAATTGCATTTGCATGTTAGCATACATAGCATCAGCCACAACGTAATAAATACAATAATGCATGCAAGAAGACGACCTTTAAAATGCTTACAACTTGTGCATACCCTGTATGGTGACTGGTTAAAAATACAGTAAAACCTGTATATAAAGACCGCTCAAGGGAGACAAGAAAAGTGGGCTTTATAGGCAGGTGGTCTTCACATATAAGGTTCCTTTAGTACACGTTTCAGCAGAAATCCTTATGAAAGGGGGACAACAAATGTGGTCTTTATAGACAGGTGGTCACTATTAAAAGTAGGTTGAATAGCAGGACAGAATGGTGAAAAATTTTAACTCGCTTTGTACACTCGATTCACACACAGTTCAAGACTCAAGTATGGTTGAATTAAATTCATAAATACATGTATATCATATATACAAATGCATCAATGCCAATAACACCACTATTTGATCCTCCTACATCCATATGATATGGAATCAATCAGTTTGTTACTTCAGTAGACTACATGTATAAATGTATACACAGTATACATTTGATGCAAAACATCTTGTATAATGCAATAACTGAAATACATCGTCTGTGTAGAACCAGAAGATCATAGTATATGAACTAACACCAGAGTTGCCAACCTTGTACGATCAAAAAAGGAACCATGATGGCAAAAAAACAACTTATAACCATGCGCGTCACACTTCCAATGCAGAAATGTCCATTCCTCGTGCTGTTTTTTCCATACAAGCAAGAATTTTTTCCTTCTGTTATTTTGGTATTATCTGCATTTTATTCTTTTTGAGAATATTTTTCTCTTCAAGTATGTTTTAACCTAAGTTAGTTTTCTATTGAATTTGTGTTCAAATCAACATTCTAGGGCAGTTGTTTGATGTGCGGTGTGTAAAAAAAAAAAATTTAATAACGTATTTTATAAAGAAAAAATGTACTACCGTAATTTGGTGAAGAAAAAAAGGGAGTGATTCCGGCAAAAACGGAATGGTTGGCAGCTCTGTAATACTCTTCTGGCTCCAAACAGACAACATGTCTATGGCATATAAATTCATGCATGAAGCAACATGTTAAATGAGCAGATAAAAATGCACCACTGCACAAAATACTACACCTGGGACTAGGTGATATGTTAGGACAAGAGGTAGAAAGAGAGAGACACACACTTGACAACTAGATGTGAATTTTCCTATAGTTCAACTTGTACTGTTGAAACATAACACTCATGAATATCAAATTCATAATTAAGAAAGATTAACAATTATAGGTTGACAATTTTATTTATAATAAGTTCTTGTGTAAGCTCGAAAGAACATCAAAATGAGGTGGTGAGTACCAACTTAAGACAACTTAATAACCTTGATAACCTATTACTGATCTTTCCCATTTCAGTTTGAATAATTAAGTAATATTGACTGCCTTCTGGGCAATACGACATATATCGTCCGAACCGAAGGTGAGGGTGATATATGACAAGTCGTATTGCCCCGAATTAGGCAGTCAATATTACTATTTTTAACCACATCAGACATCTAGAGCAAACAAGATACTCTTACTATCTTATACTCTTAAATTATGTAGGCTTCACAGGGTTTCCTAGCATTAGAAGTTGCAAAAACATTTTCAAACCAGCACTGTTCATCCAGTGTTTGACAGATTTTCGATACACTGCAAACAGTTTGCCTAGGGTGTGATTGTTACGTCACAATGAGTTCGCGCAAAGTGCGCATTTTCTTATACACGATGCGCGATGTAAATTACAATAGCTGATGCGCGATGTAAATTACAACTGGCACTATATTATTGCTCACTAGTTTAACACGCATTTTGCCATTGACTTTTCAGAGCGGGCTAAAATATTTGTCCATTGACTTACTGTATAACCTATATTGCCCGCCAAATTACACACAAATCCCATTGACTGTTCTGAGCGGGCTAAAATATTTGCGCATTGGTTTACTGTATAACCTATATTGCACGCCAAATTACACACAAAATCCCATTGACTTTTCTGAGCGGACTAACTTATTGTAATTTTGTTGACTTATCCATCAAACCTTGAGGGCAATAACATTTAAAATTTGCCCTGCTCAGATGTCTGATACGGTTAATAATAGCCCTTACATACACATGATGGTAAAGGGAAATATATATATTTGATATAACTCTAGTATTTACAACTTTTTACTTACATTGACAGATGAGGGATTACTAACAACATAGATACAAAATGCAAACAAGCTAAATTCAGATTTACTTTTGTAGAAAAGGACATTAAAGGAAGAGTCTGGCAATTAAATAAAGGAAGATTACCACTAAATTCAGGCAATATAGATTAAAAATATTAATTAATATTGTGGATGTCTAAAAAAAAAATCAGTAAATGTTGAATACCATAACCAGAGTACTTCAATTCTATTTCAATCTTCAATCATTTCCAATCCTAGCTTCAATGTGATTACAAAAAATAAAAAATTTCAAGCTTTCTTTCATTAAATCCTTACTTGCTAGATTTAAAACAAATCATAAAGCTTGACAAAACAAAACAAAACAATTATTTGCAACTCTCAAACAGATTTATATTTTTGGCATTTTGTTTACATGTATTGCTTATGAGCTTCAATTTACATACGACATATTAATTTAATAATTATAATGTTTGAAGTATAAAAAAAAACAGAATTGAAATAATATAGTCATGTAGAAATTTAAAAAACTGATTTGTATGACAGTACTTCAAAAATGAATTCTTCACACATTTTCCATTTCAGTAAAAGAGGCATACGATTTAAAAACATCTCAAATGCCTACGGACTTTGGTTAATGCTTATTTGATATATCATTATAATATAGATTACTTTCTTAAATCTCCAAACATTTTAAATTTATCTTTCGATATATATTTCAGATTAATCAAAATAACTCCGCCCTATATTACAGTGCGCTTCATTCAATAGTAGCGTTTGATAATACATAACATGTAGTAAACATGAAATAAATGGATGACTACCTTCAGCTAAAAGATTATCTCTGTCGCAAAGGAAAAATAAAGTCTACATATCTTTATAGTGTGACTGCAAAGAAAGAAGGAAAAAAAATTAAATTCTAGATTATTGACATATCGACTTGTATTCTTTCATTGCCAGAAATTTGAATATTTCTTTGAATCAATTATAAACATCGGGCTCTTTCATGTCACCTTTCTAGCCGCATTAAATGTAGCAAAGATTTGTCACCAAAACAAATTCTATACATAGTTATTTCAGTCCCTTTGATATATCAAAGAAAATTACATTTCCAGTCATTATTTCAACTTGAAATATGAACTCCACATTGCCTTTAAAAGCAAGAATAAAGTGAAAAGATATTGCCTGGTGAGGACCAGAAGGGTCTTAACTCTGTAAAATCAAGCAAGTTAATACCCTTCTGGCTCTCAACAACCAAAACAAAACAATACGATAGTTCAATATGCAATAATATAAATAAGACCTTTGAACACACAGGACAGAAATCTGTAGTGTCAAATTTGTCATTATTTCAATTGAATCCCAGACAACTCGACCCAAAGACAGCTCAACCCTGGACAACTCGACACAATACCCTGGACAACTCGCCATGGTAGAGTTGTCCAGGGTGGGGTGCCTTTTCGGACTACTTGCCCCACTTTTTACCCCTCATGATTTCTAGATCTAAAATCCCTCATCTGAGATGAAATTGTCATTTTATGTATTCATTATGCTTTTATAAACACAGTCATGACAGGAAACATGGAAATTGTGAGTCTCAGAAAACTTTTTAATTGTGGCAAGTTGTCCAGGGGCGAGCTGGCTTTGAGTCGAGTTGTCTGGACCCCTTTCAATTACAGTTGAAGCATATCATTATTAAAAAGGCCAGCTAGCTCAAACAAATAGAGTGGGAACGAATACCACCTTTACCACACACACACTCTCTATCAAGATACGTACAAATGTTTAAAGTGTTCACACACTGACTAATACAAAATAGATTTCTTTATACACCTGTATCTCATTTCACCTGTTTGGTGCCAGAACGACGTTAACTTTGTGCTAAAAGTATATGTGTTAACGCCCCTCAGGCTCCAAACGGACCACTCAGTCGTTGGATGGTTTAGGGGGAGGGGAAGGTGGAGGGGGAGGGGAAGGTGGAGGGGGGGGGGGGGGGGGGGGGGGAGGGGGGGGGGGTTACATGTCCTCTGGGCCCCAGATGAGGGTGGAGTAGTTCTCCTGTAACATCTTGTGAAGTCGTTCAGCGTGGACCTCGCCCGTCGTCTCAACAATACACTTGACCTGTAGTTGGAAGAAAATAATTGGAGAGTCAATTGTAGGTGACGTTTGAAGAGGTCTATTTCACTTGCTGATTGCTCTAATAATGGATTGTTTTCTACTATTCCCCCCACTCCCCCCCCCCCCCCCCCCACTCTCTCTCTCTCTTACACACACATACCCACTTATACACACCGGGTCACACCCTCTATCTGTGTTATCTTTCTCCCTCTATATCTCAATTTTTGGTTGCTTTCTCTCTCTAACTAATCTCTCTTTCTCTCTCTCTCTGCCTCTCTCTATCGACCTCTCAATATAGACCTCTCTCCCTCTCTCCCTCTCTCTCTTTCTCTCTCTCTCTCTCTCTCTGCCTCTTTCTATCGACCTCTCAATATAGACCCCTCTCTCTCTCTCACTTTATCTCTTTCTTTCTATTTCTATATCTGTCCTCTGACCTCTTTCCCTCTCTCTCTTTCTCTCTCTCTCCCTCTCTCTGCCTCTCTCTTTCTCTCTCTCTCTCTCTCTCTCTGCCTCTTTCTATCGACCTCTCAATATAGACCCCTCTCTCTCTCTCACTTTATCTCTTTCTTTCTATTTCTATATCTGTCTATCTACCAATCTTTCTGTCTATACATGTATCAATCTATACTTCAAATTCAAATGATCTACTTCAGTCATGTAGGTAACAGGAATGGAGGGGAATAAGGACATCTGATAGACCTACCTGAACTTGAAATATTGCACTTTTCAGGAAAGCTCTCTCGTGGAAAATGTCCTTGATACTGCAAAAAATAATAGATAAACACATGCATGAATAAGAAAGATAGATAGATAGATAAATGGTATTTATTGATTCATTTCCATGTATCGCAGTTACAAGTAACTGAATTGTGCATGAATAAAACATTGATGGTGAAGACAATTATACATTTCAAGTGATATCACAGTAAAAAGTAACTGAATTGCACATGAGTAAATTGCTGGAAAAAAGCAAGTATACATTTCAAGATGTCACACTACAATCTACATAATTATGAAGAGCGTGTATATACTATATACCATTAATCTTATACAATATTTCAATTTAAAAATTTGAGATAAAAAGAAAGAGAGATGGGAAAGCAGGAGAGAGAGAAAGAAAGAGAGAAAGAGAGAAAGAGAAAGAGACACAGAGAGAGAGAGAGAGAGAGAGAGAGGGGAGAAAGGAGACAGATGGACAGAGAGGGAAAACAATTATGTACATGTTGATAAAATACAAAGATACATTGCAAGACAAATATGAATATTATAAGGTGAACATTAGAGATATTAAGATATAAATATAGATATGCATCGCATTCTTCATGTCATAAAAAATACATTGACAATTGATCAACAATAAAACAGCATACACTCAGATTATCAGTTAAACACGGTAAAATTCAGAGCAAAAACAGAGACGGCTGCCTGCTAGGCGCATTCAGTCATGTCCTTCTTAATCATAACTTCAACAGCCAAGACTTAACATATTTGTTTCGGGTGTAGGGGCTGGACCTCAAATAATTGTATCATTATTCTGAACCATACACAGCAAAACTTCAATAAAACTTTTATTCCATAACTTCCATAATTTCCATTTCTGTGAATGGGGGCAGGGAATGGGGGGCAGGGAATGGGGGGCATCCACAATTTGAGGATTTTTGTTTTTTAGAGTTGTATAATACAACATCCATGATTCATTGACCAGTCCATAAAAAGTGCCCCAGGCTTAAGAGGGAGAATGGGCATCCCCCCTCCTGCCCCCCTCCCCCAATGATGAGCACAGAGGGTCAATTCTATTTCATATTATAAAAACACATCAATGTTCTCCGTACCTGACTCCCAACCTAAGAAGTTTCTGGGTGAGCTCTGCGATGCCTCCCGGCCGGTCACTGACCGTCACGATGAACCGGATCATACGATTGTCCACAGCCAGACCCCTCTCCAAGACACGCCCTAGAACGGTGGTATCAATGTTACCCCCGCACATCGGCACCACAACTCTGTAATAAAAGAAATCAAGATTGAACAATATATTGACATTTGCTATTACCATCGTTGAAATCAAGGACAAGTTTAATTTTGTTTAATTCCCCCTCAAAGATCAGAAGAACCGAGCAGATGCACATAATTATACATGTACATGGAATTGAGGATACTATAAAAGACCAAAACGATCTTCTCAAGATAGTCCCATCATGAAATCAGATACTCATGAATATGCATGTGCTTATAAATAATTTTAAAAATGTACATTTACACTTTGATCTTTGACATTTTAAATAGAGTATCCAATGTAAGTGTTCCTGATTCTAAACAATGTTCTTCAATGTTTTGCACTTTATATAACAAAACATACAGTAAATGGAATCAATGTTTCCCAATTTGAAGATTACGTTTATAAAACAAGGGCTAAATTAGAAAGAAAAAATAGGAAGAACATTAACCAAATAGTAATCACGATGAAGTAAACTGAATTTATGATCGAACCTATTTTAGGTTGCCATAATCAAAGCAAACCAAACACTGCATTATAACATGTTGGATGGAAATCCTTTTGACATACATGTAGGGCCTAGCTACCAACCTTTTGCCTGCTAGCTCAGGGAGATGCCCGCTGAGGATGGCTGCTAAACCTGTAGCCCCCGCTCCTTCTACTACAGCCTTCTCTATCTCAATCAATCTAAGGATGGCTAAGGCAATGCTGTCCTCCCTGTAAAACAGAGACATTAAACATTGTATAATCATCAAATATAAACCTGTAGCCCCCTGCTCCTTCCACTACAGCCTTCTCCACCTCAATCAATCTAAGGATGGCTAAGGCAATGCTGTCCTCCCTGTAAAACAGAGACATTAAACATTGTATAATCATCAAATGTGTTTAAAGGTAAAGATCAGTTTTGGTCATGCGATTGCATTGTGAAAGAAACGTTGTGGAATCGATCAGAAAAGGTTGATCATCTAGCATATAAGTATTGGTGTGTACTGCAAGGTTCTTGAATCACAAAATGATAAGAAATTTGGCCCAGTCTTGGTAAAGTTACAAGCACTGTACACAGACAGATATATCTGGGACTACGCGACACGTGCGTGACACATGCGCGATATCTATCTGGTCCAAATAGATATAATAATTTACCAAATATGTCAATTAGTAGGCGGTCCTGGCAAAATTTGTATCATCACGTGTTAGTCAAAACATATTCTTTCACATGATTGGTAATAAGAGTTTCCGTTTCATTTTTTGAGAGGGGGGCGTTTCCAAAACTGGTCTTAACCTGTAAACATGGTATAATCGTCAAACACAAGGTACAACTTTATTCTTCTCAAGTAGAACAAGTGGTAGACCTATACATGTAGCTGAAGTCTTTGAGAGAAACAATGACATAAAATCTCAATGAACATCCACAGCTTTCTCTACCTCAATCTATATCTAAGGATGGCTAAGGCAATCGTGTCTTCCCTGTAAATATCAAACGTCAAGATCACAGATGAGGTGCCATTTTTAGGGGAGGGGGTTGGGACAATTGTATTTGCAATTTTCTGCCATATTGTGGTCTCCCAATACCATATATATGGTTTGAATCTGGTAGAGATGTATTCCAATTCATTAAATATATCGTTCATATTCAATCAATTTAGTTTGTTGCAGTACAGACTAGTTCATTGACTGAAATGAAATGATGACAAAACCATATTAGAATTGGCAAAAGGCTGTCCGAATGATGTCAACACATTCTAATTACCGGTAGTTGTACATTTTATTATAAAATACATAACATTTTGCTGTAACAAGTAACATTGAATATACTAGTGTTGCCAATTTGCAAGTAAAAGGTGATTCCCTGAAAGCCCTAACAGAAAATCTTCTGAAGACATGTCTAAAGTTGATGTACTTTAGATCTTATGATAACAGGATGGGGATGAGTGAGCAGTAATAGGCATATCAAGTTTGGACAACACACTGAAATTAAACAACTATCGACTTGAAAGCAAAGCTTGTAACATTACTTACGTGACTGTGACCATTCTGTCAATGAGTTTGTGGCATGTGGCAAATGAGTTGACTCCAACAACCGGTACTGCCAAGCCTGCAAATCAAAAAGATCATAGATTGTTAACATGTAAGATAAGATGTACTGACTCTCTAATGGGATGAGAGTACAAAAGAAGAAAAGGGGGTGTTTCACAAAAACTTGTCATCAGTGACAAATGACAGTTTTTGTTATAAGCTACTAAAATCCTTGCTTCTGATTGGTTATAAGCAGATTTTTCACTGATTTTTGTCATTTGTCATTGAAAAAAGGCTTTATGAAACACCCCTGTCTCAACTCATCATTATTACAAATTGTATAAGACTTGTCATTCTGGCTGAAGACTTCCTAACTTTACATATACCGGTATACCATTCCATCTTTCTTTTTTAACATTAAGATATACAACAACAACAAACAATTTTAAAAGGCCCATTTCATTAATAAGGATGTCAATTGATACTACAAACTACACATGTACAAGCTGTTCTTTTTACAACAAAAAAATAGTTTTACAGATGATGGGCAATAGACATTTATTTTCTTTTTTTTTATGCCAAAAAAGAATATTAACATTTTATAGTTATACATACATTTTCAATAGATAACCCCTCACCCTTTGAAAATAAGTTATACAATACTGATGTAAATTCTAAATGTTGTTTTTGAATCTCTAGAAAAGAGAGCACTTACCGTCAGCCAGTGTTGGTCCTACTTTGAAATAGGTTGGTCTGCCTGCCTCGAGGGCAGCTGTAAAGCTCTGTGTCTGGTCCGTCTCTACGCCCTGGAAGCAGAATGATGAGAAAATGAACAGTAATGATAATTATATAATAATATTGGATATTTATATAGCGCACATATCCACCATGCATGGTGCTCAAGGCGCTCCAACTTTTATCCCGGCTCTGCTAGGCAGCCGATTTCCGCGCTCACAGCATTTAGTGAAATCCACCCTACCGGTACCCATTTAACACCTGGATGGAGAGTGGCAAATGTAGATTAATATCTTGCCAAAGGACATTAGTGCCCGTGGCGGGACTCGAACCGTGGCCCCTGGATCCACAGTCCAACGACTTATCCACAAGACCACAACACCTCTACAGAGAAGAGATTCTGCATCTTGACTGGACCAGGGTGATATTCATTAGCACATGGTCTGACTGGGAATATACTTGGATTCTGCCACTCTCTATAAAGGATCTTGTGCATATTCTTGAATGAAAGGTAAAGGGTAAATTAAAATGGCCTAAATCGACAGTCATTCCAAAGATGGAACAATACTAGACATCTTGTATCCAAGTTATCACAAGAAGAGAGAAATACACAAACTGCCAGAAAGTGCACAACAACAAAATTACTGCCCTCTTACATTTGGTTACATTATGTACACAATGTACATTTCTCTAAATGGAACATATTCCGTCCTGGTAATTTTTCCACGGCTCCCAGGAACCTATTCTTTACAAGCTATGCTGTTCTATAGGTTTCTGCACATTTTACAGTTTTGTACTTTTTTTGTCTGGGTTTCCTGTAACATGATAATAGTTGTCAAACATATTTGGTGACATATAATTTTGTAGTCTGATTAATTTTTCAATTACTATATGAAACAATATGTCTTTTATGTATATTTTGTTATCTGTATTGAATCTGCGTATGAAATGTAAAACCAATAACAAAAAGAGAAAAGGAAACAGAGGATGAGAAAAAATAATTAGAAACAGAAGAGAAAGAGTTGATTAATTGATTAATCACTTACAATGATTTGAACAGAAGGGTTAAGACTCTTGATAGCGAGCGCTAGGCCGGCAATAAGCCCTGCACCTCCAACAGGACAGACAACTGCATCCACATCGGGTACCTGTTCAAGGATCTCTAGTCCCATAGTGCCTTGGCCAGAGATGATGTGGGGATGGTCGTATCTATGGCAACAAAAGATACAACAGTGTATTTAAACAACCTTTTTTCACAGTGAACTTGATGATATGGGGATGATCATATCTATGGCAACAAAGATACAACAGTGTAAACACCCTTTATTTCACAGTGAGCTCTTTTCTTTTTTTTTAGATTTGCAACTGTAAAGGCTCATTCTCACGTTTGCCATTTTATTGCAACAGTGTGTTTTTTGTTAAATGTATAATGTGCAAATGCACTCCAGTATCAACATGATTGTTGAAAGCTGGTCATACCAACAGTCCCTGTAAGGAAAGTCTTAAAATATGCTAATCAAATTCATTTGTTGCTGCTGAGATGACATTATATGCTAATCTATTCAAAATCACAACTAACTAAGCATCTCAAACACATAAAAACAAACAAATTTATAGAGCACACAAATGTATGAACACTCACATCATGGACAGACAAGTAACACTGCTTGTTTTTTAAAGCATGATCCTACCAAAAATTGGAAGAAAATTTTTTTTACTGCCATTGATTCATTTGTCATTGAGATCTACATGGAAAAAATAAAATGAATTAGTGTCAAGGTCAAAGGGTAATCAGAGAAGGCAGTATGAATAGGACTGCAATATTCACCTGATGCAAAATAATACTGAAAAAAAGAGCCATACAAGTACAGTGTATGACATCACAATAGATGAGGCATTTATCTTTTCATTCCAAAACAAACCTTGAGGTCACTTTTGGAGTTTCCTATACAGTAATTCATAAAACCCTCGATTGTATAAAATCACTGACCCAATTAACACTATGAACAAGACCGACAAAGAAAGCGGACAAAATATACAGTTCCTCACGTAGACAAAGGAACATCCCTTCACTGTTATTATGTAAACAGGTGAATATGCATGTGACACCTGTTCTACACATTTTTACATAATAGCAGTGAAGGGATGTTCCTTTGTCTACCTGAGGGACTGTATATTTTGTCCGCTTTCTTTGTCAGTCATGTTCATAGTGTAAGGAGAGTAAGGATCAGTTAACAAAGTGATTACAAATATCAAAAGAGATTTAAAACCCCATGCATTTGTTTATTCCCATTCAATTCACCAATAACCTTTGAAGATGTCATACTTGTTATTATTCTGAGTGATAATGGGGTCCAATCAGTTCTTTTGTATGTAGACCACTGGATTTGTGACACTATTACGAGTACCCGGTATCAAACAATTAAAAGCATTTCCAAAAGCAAAGGCATTTAAAGCATGTTGTGATGACAACAAATTTGTATCTTTGGATTCAATCTAATGAAAGGATAATTAAAATTCATAATGAGCAAAAACATTTCATTTCCTTACCCATTGACGTAGAAGTACCCCCGCTTCTTTGCCAAGTACATAGCCAGCTTCTTAGACTGTAAATGCAAGAGAGAGAGAGGAGAAGGATAGAATTAGAAAACATTAAGTTTGTTCCATTTCTGTTTACTTTTTATCTTTCCTCTTCACACTGCACCTGTTTTCATTTTTTTCTCCTTACATCTCCTACTCTCTCTGTCTATCTTCTTCTCTCCAAACTTTCCATCTCTCTTTTTCTGTTCTTCCTTTCTTCCTTTAGAGCTCTCTCATAGTGCCCTCTCCTCTTCAATTTCCTTTGTCTTTTCTGCCCCTCTTCTCACACCCTTTCACCACCTTGCTCGTGTTTTTTTCTCTCCTTGGATCTCCCTGCCCCCTACCCACACACCTTCCCTCTCTCTCTCTCTCTCTCTCTCTCTCTGTCTCTCTCCTCATCTTGAGCTTTTTTTCTCTTTCTCCCTCTTTCTCTCTTTCTCTCTCTCTCTCTCTTTCTCTCTCTCTTTCTCTCTGTGTCTCCCTCTCCTTATCTTGAGCTTTTCTTTCTCTCTCTCTCTCTCTTTGTCTGTCTGTCTGTTTCTCTGTCTGTCTGTCTGTCTCTCTATCTCTCTCTCTCTTTCTCTCTCTCCTCATCTTGACCTTTTTTTTTCTCTCCCTCTTTCTTTCTCTGTCTGTCTGTTTCTGTCTCTCTCTCTCTTTCTCTCTGTCTGTCTCTCTCTATGTCTGTCTCTCTCTGTTTCTCTGTCTGTCTGTCTGTTTCTCTGTCTCTCTCTCTCCCTCCCTCTTCTCTTTGTATCATGCTTACATATATATGAACTCACCTCTCCGATGTCCTCTCCCTTGATGAGGATGGTAGCTCCGTGCTGCTTGCATCGATTCACTTTCATGATAGGAGCAATCTTAGGCATCACCACAAAGATAGGGATACCCAGCTGTCTCCCGTGGTAGGCCATCGCTAGGGCGTGGTTACCTGCCGATGCTGCTATCACCCCTCTCTGCTTGTACTCCTGTGGGATCACATCAAACAAGGACGCAATTGAGATTATGAATTATAGAACTTTTTCTCATAACAATATCTGTCCATGATTGATGATTATACAATATTGTCTGTTTGAACATTGTGAATATTGCTCTTTATCATGCTCATGTATGAGCACATTATATTGTAACATTCCCAGTTCAGTCTCAGAATGCAATAATGAAATTTTATTAAATAAAGTCCCCCAATCAATCGATACCTTTACTATGTGTACATGTACATAATGAATTAATTAAAATCGTCTTAGATGATTTAGGGAAGCAGCAAAGCTTTGTGTACATATGAGTCACCCTGGCATAAATGAAAGAAAGTTTTGGGGACAAATTTAGACAGTCTTACCTCTGGTAGCATTAGAAGTGTGTTACGAGCTCCTCTCTCTTTGAAACTGCATGAAAAGAAAGGAATTATAAAAGTCATTCTGGATGTTTTCTCAAATATGATACAAATGATAGATCATTAGGTAATGTTTTGGGTTTTATACCTACCTGTATACACCTACAGTCGTACACCTTCCATGTAATGTATGGATTTTGTGCACTATAGATATCTACTCATGAGAAGAAATTATTTTCTTAATAATTTGCATAGTTTGCACAGATATACAGCCCTCCAATTTATTGTAAAATACAATTAATTGAGGGGTTATTGAAGACACAAGTATCATTTCACAAAACTGGATACTTTTGCAGCACATAATAAGCAAGAGAAAATATACAGGTAGTTTCAGATCGTTCATGTGCTGAAGCCATACAAAAACAATGATATTATTCATTGGAAAGGGCAAAACACAGACAAACGTATATAATTCATTCTAAATATGAATATACTTTTGACAATCTGAACTATACTGATCAGGGTTAATGCCTGTAAATAAACTGACAATGTATCTGCTTCAAACGTACCTTCCTGTAGTCTGTAAGTAATCTTTCTTCAAGTATAAATCCATTCCTACCAATCCTGACAGGTTAGATTTCTAAGAAGAAAAGGAGAAAAATATGCATCTTAAAACTCTAGAGACAAAAAATCAATGAACAGAATTGCCTGATGATTGCTTATATATTTAAACTTTCTTCAAGTACAAATCCATTCCCACCAATCCTGACAGGTTAGATTTCTAGGAGTAGGAAGAAAAGGAGAAAAATATGCATCTTAAAACTCTAGAAAAAAAGAAAAAAATCAATGAATAGAATTGCCTGATGATTAATAATGTAAATAATGTGGAAAGGGTTTCCATGTACTAGTCCACGTATAAGTACATGTACTCTGCATGCATCATGTGCTTTACAATTAAAAACAATATACCTTAATTGACTGACAAAAGGAGAGAGACACAGAGAGAGAGAGAGAGAGAGAGAGAGAGAGAGAGGAAGAGAGAGAGAGAGATAGAATGCACAAATGGGTGAATGTAATTTACTCCGGAAAATTATGAAATACAAAACTTTAATCTATGAAAAAGTATCTAACGCAAGTAAAGAACAAAAGAATATTAAGTGAAATATATTTTTATGTTTTTTCTTTATATTTCAAGTGATGAAAAGACAGAATAACAAGCATATGACCTACATGTACAAACAAAAACATATGATGGTGTAAAAGTGTGGGAGGTCGATCTTTACAATATGATATATTGATGTTCAAAACACTCAAATAGTTAAAACAGAGTCAGGATCCGATCATCCGGTGATATTCAATCAAAGTACAAAACCCTTGAAATTGAAAAGACAATCCTATAGCTCTGTGTTTGGTTTGCATGGGCGCCCTGCACTTTTGAGGAAGATATTTGAAACCACATGCCACCTGATAGTTGACCTCTTCCCAGTAATTATGTAACTTGTTCAAAAGATAATATTTTGATAAATCCAACCAAGTACCCACATGATGTACACCTGTGTCAGGAGTGGGTTGAAACATGAAAGCAGGGTCAAGAGCGGACATCAGGGCTTGACCTCCAGTGTTGTGTAGTATTGTCCCAAAACTCAGTTAATTATAAAGTACCCTCATGTTATACCCTAACAAGATGCCCAGTTTGAGATGCACTTAAAAGCCAACATTCATAATCCCCTTCCCAGGAAAGACCACCTCTATTATGTTTAAGCCTCATACATGTACATAAAACTAATTGTCCATTGTTTTGGCGGCCTCATTCATGTCTAATTTGTCCATTTGACACAATGTAACCTACCCTAGCTCATTATTACTTGTATCCTTCTGTATAAATATTACATGTTCTGGCTTTCTAAAGGGAGTTGAGTTTTCTCTTTCTACATATACCGGTAGCTGGATCTCTCTTCATCTTGTGTTTTACATATATGTGTAAGTTCATAATGATGTGACCGATTTGATTCTCCAAAGTTTGGAGATAATTAATACTCTCATATGACTCCGGAATTACAAGTCTCTCCTTAATTACTGCTTCATATTTATGTATTTATGTACCTCTCCTACTGCCAATATCAAATACACCGACCCCAACACGACCCTAGTCAAACCAACCAACACAACTACCCCCATCAAATACATTCTAAATAAATGATCTATAAGGATGACTTCAGTCATAAGTATTTAATTCACTGTTTTCTCCAAAAGTACATTGGTTGATATAAAACATAACATCTATAAACAACTTTATTTGATTGACTTTAGTTCACAACTTCCAAGTAGGTAAAATTGTAACGTTGGCAAAGTGCATCATGCAGTCATATCTCAGATTGGTAGTTAATAATAGCAAGCAAGCATGTTTGTAACATGCTACCTGAAAATGGGAATGGCTTTTGGAATGGGAGATTCTAATCTGTGTACATGCATCGATGCGGTACTCTACAAAGTCAAGGCAATTATGGGAGATTATACAGCAGTTATGGTTATCATCATCATTGTCAACTAATCAGTACAAAGGCAAATATTTACATAGTGATAGCTGACTCAGCTGACTGAACAGAGAGAAAGGTTTACCTTACAAATGTAAACATAATACATGCTGCTCTAGACACTTATAGGGAACCAGGGACAAGCACGAGTAATTTTTTTCTTGTGCTGAACAATAACTTTGAGAATCGATTGGTGATGTCAAATGATGAACAAACACAGTGTGATTTTCTCATTTGAATAAACCAGACCAACAAGTCTGCTTTCCTAAGTTATGCGCTCAAATTAAGGGACTCATGCCAAGAAATCCAAAAACTTCACCTTTCTGTCAACTTTCCATTATATTTATACTATATTGCAAAGGCCCAAGAATAAAGATACACTTTTAGGAAAAGGATGTATTCATTTCTCAGCATAAACTAGCTTAGCCAGACTCGCCAGCTCCGGTATGCACAACCAAAGTGTCTACCGGGATTCAGGCATTATTTAGCATCCTTGATTGTACAACCACTACCATATATATAAAGGTTTTGGTTTTGTGAAGAGAAAAAGAAATTACCCCATGCATTTAAAATGCTTGATTACCTGTACAGCTGAGTATCATGTATCATAATTTAATTTCAATCATACATTTCTGATATTCTGAACAGATGTGTGCATTTACATAGTACCAGTTCATACTGTAGATAAATACAGCGGATGTGCCTACACCTGCAAGGTTGCTTGATTGGAGCTTGTGTTAATTGGGTCTTTTTTAATAAATTGTTTGTTGTTGTTTTTTATGTCTACCAATGGCCGTCAAAACAACTTGTTACGTGTCTGGTAGTGGTCTATGGCAACCCATACACAAGCACTCTGTGCTCAAGGTCACTCTGTGCTCAAGGTCACATACTACTCTAGTTTGTTGTGATGATGAAGCAATGCCATCAAGCTCCAGGCCGGGGCTTATATTACGTATTCAACTATCAAACTTTCTATTCATCTACTCTATGAGGGTGTGCCCATCGTCAGTACCTTTTTGAGTAAGAGACTTATCTTGAGCTTTACTAAAGCAAATGACCATGAGAGAGAGAGAGAGGGGGGGGGGGGGGGGGGGAGAGAGAGAGAGAGAGAGAGAGAGAGGGGGGAGAGAGAGAGAGGGGGAGACAAAGAGACAAAGAGAGAGACAGACACTCAGACAGACAGACGGATCAAGGTTGGCAGGATGAGAGCTTGAGAACTCAAAACTTTAAAGCTTATCTGTACTAGTTTACAGGAGGGATTAGACCACACTGCAAGGTCACTGGACAGGAGGTTATCTCATCAACTCAGCTCTCAATTAACATAAGAAAAAGAGGATCAATGGTCACCCATTAGGCTTTTTTTGTTATATAGAGGGCGCAAGTAGCTACAAGCTGTGCAGTGGGCCTTTAAAAGGAGATTAATCCAATGATGCACTTCAGAATCTGAATCAATTGCAAATCCTCTTATCAAATCGCAAGTATGCAGTCTCCTATCTTAATATGTACATGTACATAGTTGCGATTGATAACAATTGCAAATAAGTTGCCTGTTTATATAACAGAGCCCAGGTAACCAAAATCCTCCATTACCCTTTAAAGGTAAAGACCAGTATTCGAAACACCCCAATTTCAAAAAATGAAATGGAAGCTCTTATTACGAATCATGTGAAAGAATATGTTTTGACTAATACATGATGATAAAAATTTTGCCGGGAAACCGCCTACTATAATCGATATATTTGGTAAATTAGTTTATCTATTGGTATGTGAGAGATAAACGCATGTGTCGCGCACGTGTGCATATAGTCCCATATACATCTTTCTGTGTACAGTGCTTGTAGCTTTACAAAGAATGGGCGTCTGGACCAAATTTCTTATCATTTTGATGATTCCAGAACCTTGCTGTACACACCAATACTTATATGCTAGATGATCAACCTTTTCTGATCGATTCCACAATGTTTCTTTCACAATGCAATTGCATGACCATAACTGGTCTTTCTCTTTAACAATGTTTAACCCTATCATACAGTCTAATATGAACTAATGACAAAATATGAAATTCCACCACCTACAAACAGAGAGTTGCGACGTGAATGCTTACCGAACATGGCGATCGCAACACACCGCTTTTGATCTTGTAAGCCGCCGCGCTGACATCCTGGAATTTGACCTGGATGGGGTTGTCGGGGTCGCAATGGGGGTCGTGTTGGTACTCCTCTCCGATCTCATCGATGTTGATGTCAGCATCCTCTTCCAAGGTGGGGCTATCGCACTGGTCGTGTCCGTTGATCAAGGTCTGCTTGTGAGCTTCCATGGCTACACCCTCGTCTTCAGAAATCTGTCCCTGATCCTTAGGAAGCTCTGAGGGCATCATCAAGATTTTGTGGCTTTTTCGTTGAACCTGAAACGAGATCAAAGGGTAAGTAAAGATCTTATAGTTTAAAGTGAAACATTCATGGATGACTATCATTATCATATACATTTATACTTGAACCCCCACAATGATTTAAAGTCATCAACCTTACAAACATGCAACATTAGGTCGAGATCTACAATGTACAACTAAATTTCTGAGAGGAGCTTGTCCTGTAGTTTATTCATGGTTTTTCTTTATCCATCATAACCCGACCAGTGCCCAACAAGTATCAAAATGTACAATTTGTGAACCTGTTTTAAATAATTTCAATGGAAAAATGAGCATCTCCATTCTCGTGTCCATCAAAGTTCTAGATCCATATCTCAAGTTACAATATTTGGCTTTGGACATTGCCTTTGTCTGTTTGTAAAGGGTTATTATTATTAACTTATAAATGCAGGACACTAAGAAAACAGTTAAACACCAGGCAGTCACTAACTCCAGGAAGCTCCTTCGGCGTCGGAGCTTCCTGGAGTTATAGTCAGTCACATGAACTACTACCAGGATTCGACTCGACTCTCCCATAACCATAACAAATTTAAAAAATCTCCACAATCATGATGTTTACACTCTTTCTCAAAGTTTCAAATTCAATTCATTTATTTCTTAAAAAGGAAAACAAATTTAGGCATCAACTTTATAACTCATTAACTGCGGTAGTCTAGTCAAGAAAGTTTAACAGAAATAGATCTATTCTTTTAATTTTATGACAAAAATATTACCGGTACTACTAAATCTACTTTACTAGGTCTATAGATCTAGATCTAACGTTAGATTCCTCTAGACCTCTAGATGTCTAATTCTAGATCTAGTCTGCATTCTAATTGCTTCATCTTCTTACCTGTACTTTTCGGACCACTTGTCTTTCTCTATCAGTATCACGGTATCCGTATCGGTCTGTGAGATATGATTCCTGACCCTGTAACTTGTACCGGTACGGGTATTCTCACGTTCAGTTTTATGAGTCAAGACAAAATCTAAGCTGAGCTGCTCCGACGAAATCCAACACTGCAACAAGACGGCGTAATTTCGTGATGACGAAGTTTAACGACGGCCGTTATCCTCCGTCACTTTCTCTATCTATGAAAATATAAATAACGCTAAAATAAAATGCGACATGAGCGTTGGACTGGCAGGACGATCTCTAAAATGTAGAGGATACCGAAGTCACCGAAATTGTCTAATTACTTATCATAAGTGATAATAAAAGCGTGCACCGAGCGTGACGATAGATGCGTACAAAGGTGTGTACGTGTGTGTACATCGCGATCGTTGTGGTTGTAAACCAGTTTGGACCGGAGCTAGCCAAAACATTAGCACTCTGTACAAAATCATCGCAGACTTCACAGTATTACTCCGATAGTAAAATCCCATTTTCATGCGAAAAATATGAAATTCTCACTACTTTTGCAATTCAATGCCAAATAAAAATAAATCCTTATACTTAATCATTTTCAGTTTGGTAATTTCCTTCAAACTATAGCATTTTCTAGAAGTATTTAGAAATCATGGTTTGAAATATAAGACTACACTTAATTCCGGCTTTCCTTTTATTTCTACGTCATCGGATAAAGAGGTGAAGCCTCCTAATATGCAAATCTCCTCTTTCTGATTGGTTCACTGGGACAACGCCCTTTCAAAAAGCACGTGGCAATGTTTACGTTTACTTGGAATGTGATGTTTTATGTTGGGCAGAGTCATGCTTATATCCGTGATTTTTTTGTTAATTCATTTCCGAAGATTCTTGAGTGAATCGTGGCATAAAAGGGCATTAGCGGAGAACTATCTACAAAATCTAAAGTGTGCTAGAATAGGGGAATATAAGAGAGGGGTATAAGAGAAGGGGAGCCAGTCATGTTGTCAGTGGGTAACTCAATGTGATGGAGAGAGAAATGTAGGAATGTGAGACAGTGTGGAAAATGAAAGAGAGGGGTGAAAGGTGGAAGGTATAAACCAGTAGTAAATGAATAAAAGAGAAGTAGTAGAAAGAAAAAAAGCAGGAGTAAATCAAATAAGGTGGAAAGAACAAAGGAAATAAACTCAAACAATCTAAGAACTAGAAGATGATGATGACAAAGGAATATCAAAGTTCATTATCTCTTTTCAAGTAAATCCTGATAGCATTAATCATTAATCATTTGCCCCATAAAACAGCATACATTTTATAGAGAGAAGGATAATTGTCAAGACTATTACATCATTATATCTTAATTTCTGGCTACATAGCATACACTTTTATCTTATCATTGTCACTGCATCAACAAACACACATGTTAACAAAGATTAACATGCTAAAGAGAAAGGATCCTTGAACAAATATCTGATGTTCTTTTAAAGGTACTCTGTCCCATTTACAGGCCAAAAAAAGAAAATGTTGAATTCCAACAGCATTTGAAAGATAATACTAATATGAAACTTTCCTCAAAACAAAAGGGCTTGAAATTAATGTGAGAAAATAACAACCATTAGTTGTCAAATCGACTTACTTGATTGCAATTACTAAAGTAATAGTCTGATTTTCAGACCCCTGTACCGAATGGTTGAACGTTTTGTGCTGCGCAAAGATTCAATCAGTTCGATTTTGGCCATTACAAGAATTGGTTTGTTGATATTGATGTAGACAAAATTATGCTCCTGTACCCTTTACAGCTCATTTTATGTATGTTATAACCAAAGAAGAAAAAGAAGTCACTCTCTCTCACTCAATAGTGTCTGACAGTGAAGTCTAGAAAATAAACATGTTTCCTTGCTTAATTTGAATATAAGGACACTGCTAACAGTTACATTTCACAGATAGGACATACGTGACATATTCATAATTCCTGCAAAGTTCTACTGAATTTGATGTTGGCTGCAAACATGGGACATAGTAGCTTTAAATTCAAATAATTTCCACTATAAAAATTAATATAAGATACTGTTCACTTGAAAAGAGTTAATTGAAATAACATGAAACTGATGAAATAAAGGAAATAACATAGAAGAGTGAAAGAGGAGGACGAAGAAGAAATTGACAATGAATATGAATATCATGAGTGATGACGATGATGTAAAATAAATCAAAATTGTGACAAAATTTTGATGGCAAAGACAGATACTAGGAAACAGTAAAAAAAAATAAAAAATAAAAATTAAAAAAAGGGAAGGGAAGGGAAAAAAGTTGAAGAAAAAGAAGAGGAAAGATATAGACACAGACAGGAGTAAAAGACAATAGAATACAAGAGAAGACACTAAGAAGAATTTAAAAATCTGCAGGATACAACCAGAGACAAGCATTGAGACATAATGAGACAATACAAAGTAAAGGTTTAAAAATGTGAGAAAACATTTATTTGCTCTACAAACATGCAAACTCTAACTTGGATCATATAAAATAAATCATTTAGTCATACTTTGGCAAGAATGATACTTTTTTCTGTAAAAAAGTACCGTCGGTTTCAAGTTAGGAAGACTGTGCATGTACATATACCCATTTACATGTATAAGATTTTTTGGCAAAAAGAATTCTAATGAAATACAAAGCTTAGATTTATCCTAATTTATGAGGTTGACATGTGTGAAAAGAACAATGTTATTGTCCATACTAACAACTGTTCAAATGTGTGTATTCCCTTGCCAAAACTCTACAAATATCATCATGAATTTTACTGTGAATCAGCAAAATAGCACAACTATTACTTCAAAATTCAAGTCAAAGATTCTGTAACTTTCAATGGAAAATGACGGACCATTGCTGCCAACTATGGTGCACTCTGTGTATACTTGTCTCAGTTTTTAAAACAAATCCTGATAATTCTGTTTCAAAGTTATCTGAACCAGAACAAATTGATTTAGTGGAGGATTGCTTTCAAAATAAAATCATTGAGTTTGTAATTTTTATGAATCGCTTGTGCTACTGATGGTGTACCAAACTCAACATGATATTACAAATCAACACATGCATCATCAAAGGCCCTATATGGCTTTTAAACCCATCATTTCATAGTTATAAACAAGCTGCTTGCACATCATGTTACAGGAGACAAGCCTTGTTATGACAGCTCTGTCAGTTCTAAAATTTCCAATTGAGTATGTTATTGATCCTCATAAACATTTAAAATGCACTAAAAAACATAAATTACAACATATTATCAAAGATTGGAATGTATTTGTCTAATTTTCAATTCCTGAGTGAATCCAAAATATCCATAAAAGAGAATACAACTAAATTGGAGTATTAAAGTAATTGATTCATTTGGCATTACATCAATCTTCAAGGCATGGTGTCAAAATAAGAGAATGATTTTTTTCTTACTTTTTCTGTCACATGCTGATCATTCTTATCACAAGTAAAAATGTATTGTTAAAGTTTTTATCTTTTTCATTCCTGTTCTTCATAATCTTCAGTTTCTAGTACTTGCAGATCAATGGTACTAGTACATAATACTAAAATAAACTATAATGTATGAAACATGATGTATGGAAAGATTCACAATAACTGAATATTGGTAAATAGTACAAAGAGTGTATATGATAAATGTAATTGACCATCACATTGGTGAAAAGGGGGTTCTTTGGTTTGCTTCAGGGTACTGACAATATAAACACATCAGGGGGGTGTTTCACAAAGGTCCTAAGTTGAACTTATCTCTAAGTTGGACTTAAAAATTATGGAAAGCCATTAGCATCTTTGAAATTATTTTGTAAAAAATATTTTAAGAGGCATAAAATGTTGATTCAAATCATTCTTAATTTTCTATTATCAAGGAGAATTCATGTGCTTGATGTGGAATTTATAAAAAGTCTAAAATACTCGAATTTCTGCTTTTGAATATATTTCATTTTAAGGCTCCAATGGCTGTCCATAATTTTTAAGTCCAACTTAGTGTTAAGTTCTACTTAGGATCTTTGTGAAACACCCCCAGATCGGTTGAATGACTATCTGACCTTCCTCTTAGCACCACCGTACCAATAACCATGTAGCGATAACCACCCGACATAGATCTATCGAGTTTATGAAGCCTGCCCTCTGTTGTTAAAATGTTTCCATGTCTATACATCTTAAGGCCCATTCAGACATGACACAGTTATCAATAGCAAAAATCACAGCAAAACTGAACATAATACAGTCAATCCTGCTTTAGCGCCCACTTGTAAGTTATATAGGAAGACAACCCGTCTATACAGACCACATTTCGCCCCCCCCCCCCCCCCCCCTCCTTTAAAGTGGTTTCTCATTGAAACATATACTAAAGGAACCTGTAGAGACCACCTACCTGCCTATAAATACCACCTTTCTTGTATCCCTTGAGCGGTCTTTATGTACAGGTTTCACAAGTTTCACTGTAGATGGATGGTGAGGGCAATATCTCATTGTTAGGAGTTAAACAGAAAACTGTGAAAAACTTCTGCATAAATATTGCATAAACAAATCATACTGTTACTATTCTACATGTTATACAACTACTAAAATACTAAATACTAAAAAACATAACAAAACAAAATATTTTCTCCCCCTTCTCCTACTCCTACTATTGGACAGCTGTCCTCGTGTCTATAACTTGTCTTTCTTGTTTCTACATTCTTAAATAAGACTGGTTCCTGCCTTGAGGAAAAGCCCATAGGTTAGTAAAAGTCTCTCTCTCTTGTAAGAACATTCAATACCTCCCGTCATAGCTTATAGGACAGGAACAGTAACATTGTCACTCTCTCTCTTGGAGGTGACTGCGATTAGTTCCCGCCTCAAGTCCTAATAGCCCAGTGGATAGAGAGTGCCCTGTGGTCTCTATATTTATTGATGCGTTCCTGGTACTCATTCATCTCTAGTATTTCTGGACAAAGGAACATCATGTCACTCTCATTTGTAGGTCTGGTCCTTGCCAAAGGACCTCATCGCCCATTTGAGTTCTGGTACCTATTCTTGTCTAGGATAGTAAAAAGTCAGTCTGTTCTGTCCTTCTGGAATAGTTAAAAGCCTAGCTCTTTTATCACCATGCCAAGTCCTTACTATCCATGGGATAGTACGCACTAGGGTTTTCTGTATTCTTGATCCATTCCTGGTACCTCTTCAGGACTTTTTCATCTGGTCCAAGGAATAGTTGAACAGGTTACTCTCCTGTGTCAAACCCATCCAAACTCAAGTCTACATAGTAAATTTCAGAGTAAAATGGCACTTTCTGTCATAGAACTGGTCTTTTCCTTAAAGCATATATCTGCCGTAGTTTACAGGAGGGATTAGACCGCCCTGCAAGGTCACTGGACAGGTGGTTATCTCATCAACTCGGCTCTCAGTTAACATAAGAAAAAGAGGATCATGGGGGACAAATGGTCACCGATTAGGCACTGTTTGTTATATAGAGGGCGCAAGTAGCTACAAGTAGTGCAGTGGGCCTTTAAGTCCTATTACCCCATGGTATAGTAAAACTGTTTCTCTTTTTTGTGCAAATGGTCCATAGGACTGGTCTCCACTTTTAGTCCTAATAGCCCATTGGGTAGTGTGCAAAAGGGTCTCCATGTTCCGCGATCCGGTCCTCGTACCTCTGCCTGAAGACCGCCCTGTGTTGTTCCCGGACCTCCAGGTCCCATATGACCTCACCTGACTCGCAGCTGCTGACCCGCGAGATCTTGATCGCCTTGATGAGAGGATCCGGAGGGTACGACACCACCTTCCCAACCACCATCACGATAGAATCAACTGAAACAACACACAGAGAATGGTGAGGTTAGATGGAATGACGCCTATGAGGGGCTAGTCAAAACATTTTGTTAACACCTGTGATCAATTTTGAGGAAAACAAACCAAATTTTAACCCATAGACTCCTAACTTTTTTTTAACAAAACAATTTCTTCATGTTGACATCCGATTTCTCTCATTCTCCTAGAGTTAACACATGAAACACCCACTACCAGTAGCTAATGGGTTAAATTTGGAAATAAACATGGATACATACAGAACAAGACACGAAACTTGCTATTGCATTTAATTATCATAAATATTAAAATTTGAGCGACAGGTTTGTGCAGAGCTTGTCTTCCCTACCATAGAGCTTAGAATATTGATTTCACATCATTCATTATAATGCTAAAAAACTAACTTCAATTTAAGTAGGAGAAATTTTTGAAATCAATTTAACTGCTTGTGGTAGTTTTCTTAAAAGCCTGCCTACACTAGTTTGGCCAGGAGGGATTAGACCTCCCTGCTGGTCACTGACAGTTGGTTATCTCATCAAATCAGCTTCCAATTAACATCAGAAAAAGGGGATCATGGGGGACCAACGGGTACCGCTTAAGCATTGTTTGCTATATAGAGGGCGCAAGTAGCAACAAGTAGTACAGTCCCACTTTAAATTAGGGAGCGGTTTAGGGAGGTGTCTGGGTACTTGTCCTAACTTAATGCCTTACAGTAGTTTGCAGGGTTTTTAGGGTGGAGCTTAGCAGGTCTGAGTAAATTATTTTAAACAATATTTAAAAATCTTTGAAATATATTTAGATGTATGAGTAACAAAATATGAGTTATATGCAGCCCTGCACATCACCATGAATCCACTTATATTTGGATTTCATCCGACCTTTAAGACTTTATGGAATTATGTTTAATGCGTCTGTTGCTGCAGACTAGCCTTACAGCAAGAAATTATAACTTTACCAACCAGTGTCAGCTATAAGGTCTATGCTGTACTGTGCTTTGTGCAAGTCACATTGTCCCAAAATAATGTCATTATTGACATATCTAAATTTTAACAAGAACATTAATAAGAAGGGATCACATCTTGGTTAAAGTAGGACTGTACTACTTGTATCTACTTGCGCCCTCTATATAGCAAACAATGCCTAAGCGGTACCCGTTGGTCCTCCATGGTCCCCTTTTTCTTATGTTAACAGAGAGCTGATTTGATGAGATACCCCCTGTCAGTGACCATGAAGGAGGTCTAATCGTTCCTGGCCAAACTAGTGCAGACATGCTTTAAACCAAACATCAAGGAATATTCTCCTTAGCATAACTTTATTAAGATGCTTGCCCAACATGCCTTTTCTGCCGATGAGAGTGTCCTTCTAACTATGAATCCCTCAAGGGCTGGTCTTTATATTATCAATACTAATCAATTCGGTCAACGTAGATGTATCGGATCTGAGCAAATCGGTGCTGAAGCTTATTAGCATCAATCATTGAGGACCATACACTTTCTTGACAGACCAATTTCTTCCTTCTTCCCCCTTTTCCCTTGTCCTTCTTATCTGTTTTACTTCTCTTTGTTCGTTTCATGGTTTTGTAATATTGTCTTGTGTTTTCTAAGTCTTCGAAGGCAAAATTTGAAACAATTATATTTTTTTCTGGGGGATCCACAAACTACAAGCACTGCATTTTAGTGGATCCCCCCCCCCCCCCCATTTCCTCAGAAATTAAGAATTTCTTGTAATAATTTTATTATATTTGTGCAAAGTGTATTTGTATAGTTTCCAGGGAAAATGAATTATGTATGGAAAAAAAAAGTAATATCTTTGTTTACCTTTCTGTTGGAAATGAAATAAATATGAATATGAATATGAACATGAATTCACATTCACATTCAATCTCTAGTTCATAAGTTATACTGTATTACACTTTTGAGTATAAATTTCTCACCTGCGATGACGTTATCATTGTGTGAGCGAAGCCTCCTGACACTGCTGTAGTCTATTCTGGCTCTACCCGTTGAATCGTAAAGTACAGCGATATTCTCAGGCTCGTCAACACTTACTAGTCTCCCCTCCATCCAAACCAGCCCTGCAGAGAAACACAAACAGACATCATAGTCATTTATCCATTGTGTCAGTGATATTTCAATTGATGAGTCAGTGTACTGGGGGGTGTTTCACAAAGATTTTAAGTCAAACTTAACTCTAAGTTGAACTTAAACATTATAGAGAGCAATTTGTATCCTTCAAATATATATATTCAAAAGCAAAATTCAATATTTTAGACTTTTCATAAATTCCACATCAAGAACATGAAATCTCCTTGATAACAGAAAATGTGAATGATTTCAATCAACATTTTTAAAAACAATTTTTACAAAATATTTTCAAACATGCTAATCACGGCTGTCCATAATTGTTAAGTCCAACTTAGAGATAAGTTCAACGTGGGATCTTTGTGAAACACCCCCAGGAAAGCAAGTTTCATAGTGGTTTATGTATGGTTTCAGACTTTACAGCAAAATACTGATGTGGCCTGTCTGTCAGGATGATATCTTATTTACTTTCCATTAAAATTACAGTGAAACCTGTATATGAAGACAAATCAAGGGAGACAAGGTCTGTGATTTTCATAGGCAGGCGGTCTCTAAGAACAGGTTCCTTTAGCATGTTTCAATGAGTAACCACTTTCAAGGGAAACCACAAAATTTGGTCTTCATAATAGACAGGTGGTCCTCCTATACAGGTAGTTGCTTAAGTAGGGTTGACTGCCTTGAAACAAGTCTGGACCTCCTCTTAACACCATGGCTCAGTAAAAAGAGCATTGGTCTTGAAAACAGAAGGTCATGGGTTCAAACCATGCGGCAAGCAGATGCACTACTGGTCTGTGGTAAGACAACGACTTGTAATTACAGAGGTCTTCAAATGGGATTGAAAGACTTAGGTGTATTAAATGATATCTGAATTACAAGCAGTCCGGAAACACATCATCACCAATAATGAAAAGTAACTGATGCTCAAAGCTATTCATCAACCCAGCTATATCACACTTGATTAGAGATGCAAAGGTCACAGGTTCAATCCCTGGCATGGCATTTTATTTAAATTACTTCTCTGCACCCAGGTGTTAAATAGGTACCCGGATGCAAACGTTAATGTGGTTGGATTGGCACGTGTGAGCTTGTAAAATGGTGCCTAGCTGAAAAACTCCACAGGGTGTGGAGTGTGTGCACAATTATGTTAGAAAAAGTAAAATAATAATAATTACAATGTAAAGTGCTTAAAAATTTGAATTTTATTATTTATTATTAGTCCTCACCCCTATGACCCCACTCAATAATTAAAAGTTTCAGCATTCAATAAGACAGCAAACTTGAATACCAAACATTCACTGACCTTGAGGATCGAGTGTAGCTAAGATGTCTTCTTCTGCCAGCATCTCGATGAACACCCTCACAGCGGGTTTATTGAGTCTGCTCGAGCTCTGGGTAGCCATCTTGGTACTCCAGAGAAACTTTCCTGATCTTCGAAGATGATCTTAGACTGAATGAATGCTACCTGAAGTGAGGGGGGAAAAGCTAAACTGTCACAACTCACATCCTTGTTAATAAATCAAATTGTTAAGTCTAAATAAGAAAAACTGAGAGCTAACTTTTCACAAGATTCCAGTGAAAGAAAATCAGCTAGGCCTACTCGGGCCCTTGTCGGCTTGTGTGTGTGCGGCAAGGGTCACCGCACCGTCGCACTGTCTGTGTAAGGGGAAGGTTGACAAACATCATCAGTCTTATCAAAGAAATTCCCATACAGATCAGAGACGGTTATTTGTGTCTAGATCTAGCTGTGTGTGAGAGTTACTCAACCGATGTCATTTCTTGGCAGATCTTCATCACCACCTGCGTCGCGTAGCCACCCCCGCCGCTACCTTGGCTTGGCCCGTGAGCTCGGGCTCGCCTCGGCTGCATGGTCTGTACGTTGGAAAGGCTGCGTGGCGCGTACAGTCAGCTGTTTCATTAAGTTAATGCAAAATCGTCTACGGGCTACAGATTTCCGAATAAAATTCACAAATATTAAGAACTTAAGGTGCAATTAGCTTACCAAATTCTGCTGTATCAATGGATGATCACTTCGACAGCTTAGCTCAGCTCAGCTCAGTCAGTGCACTCGAAGAGTTTTCTAAATGCATTGCACCTTCTTCGTAATGATTGCACACGTCGCTTTCCATAACTAAAGCTCCAGTCTACGATCACAGACCTTATTCAACTTTCTTTCTTTTTTTCTCTTTTTTTTTTTTTTTTTTTTTTGAAAAATGACTAGGCCTTTTGAAGACTTAGACTGATAGGAAAATATTTAACTAGGAAATAATAAAACAAACAAAAATTGAGTATCTTATCCGTTGAAATTGACTTTAAAGCATGTTTCTCAACTATAAATATATATGATTTTTACAATCGGTTCATTTGTAGGAATGAAGAATAGACTATACTCTGAGACTTGCTAATGAGGGCCTAAACAATAAACAGTTTCTTTCTTCCACATAAACGATTAAAACAACCACCGTCATTATAGCTCCAGTCTACGATCACAGACGGTATTCAACTCTTTATAAAAAAAAAAAATGATGACTATAGGCCTAATGACTAAAACCGGTACGTAGGAATAGATTAAAGGTATTACAAAGTTTTGGGAAATTTTGAAAAATGGGTGGATAGTGATTCTTTACAATTTTGATATATTTGGATGCCCCTGTGGATGTATTAAAAACATCAGAAATTTTAGCCCCTAAAACACTTCTGCTTTCGAGAAAAATTGAATATAAAGATTTACCGGTGCTCCCGGTAAATTTTGATAAATTTAAAATAGCTCCTACGGCCGTATAATGGTAGCTGCGACCATGACAATCTCAGAGTATGTAGTTGTGGTATATAATTTCCGAACGAGAATAGCTAATCAGTCGATTTTAGTCAATAAACATTGTTTTATAGGTTGGTTGGTTGGTTCTCCGTTTAGATGGCGCTCTTCAATCTCAAAGATTATTTGCGCCAGTCAATTTCGTGTATAGCTTTGGCGTGGGCTTCGGAAATCAAGCCCACGAGCGACTTTCCTTGGTGAAATGAAATTAATAGTGATATGGTTTTATTAAAAAAAAAAATTAAAAAAAAAAAAAAAAAAAAAAAAAAAAAAAGGCTGCAATATTAAAATTGCATAAAATGCACATAAAAGGCGAGATGGGAGTTAGTTGCAATTGTTCATGGAAAAACCGCAAATACTTCATTTTATATATTATTACAGGATCGACATAAGTTAAGGGGATCCCTGATAGCTTTAAAAGCTATCTAAAACGATTAGTATCGTATATGTAACCCAATAATTCACGAGTAAAAATTGGGTTAGACATCAATAATTGTTTCAGATTGGGGTTGTTCAATTTAATCCTTTCTTTTAAGAGACGTCTATCTTTGTCGTATTTTGTACAATAGAAAATAAAATGTTTAATTGTTTCATCTTCTTGACAAACTTCACAAAGACCAGTATCGTGTTGGTTAATTTGAAAAAGGTAATAATTTAAACTACAGTTACCTACTCTTAGTTGTTGTATCAAGCATTCTTCTCTGCGAGATAGGCCTTGTCTATGTATGGGCTTTGAAACGTCGCTATGCAAAGCATATAAAAATCTACCGTGTTCTGCATTGTCCCATTCTGCTTGCCATAATTTGTTATAATGGATCAAACGAGAGGCTGCCAATTCACTTCTTGTATTTGGTATAACTATGTCTATACACCTTTTCATGGCTCCTTTTTTGGCAGCCCGATCTACGATCTCATTGCCCCTAATATCGCAATGTGACGGAATCCATTCAAAAGCAACACAAACATCCTTAAACTGCAAAATATTAATTATGGATAAAATTTCATTTACAATAGCACATCTAATAAAGTATGAATCGATCATTTGTAAAGCTGACAAAGCGTCGCTAAAAATTGCCACCGAAGAGGATTCAATAAATGTATTAATCCACTCTAGTGCCATTAGTATGGCCACTAGTTCTGCTCTCATAATACAGACATGGGATAATCTAAAAAATTTCACCACATTATAATGAGACACATAAAATGCGGCTCCTGTCTTCCCATCCTCGAGTTTAGAACCATCTGTATATATATGTAAAAACCCATTCCATGAATTTCCAATGCTATCTAGAACAATCGATTTTATTTCAAATGGAGGCATTTCCTTTTTTTGCACTTTGCCATGGTGTTCGAAAGACACTTGTGGTCGTGCTAACCGCCATTCTGGGATTTTCGGCAATAAGTTGGTTTGCCCTTCCACCACTACTTCGTCTCTAAAGGATCGCAGTTTAAAAGGTCCTTCTCCTATCTTCCATTCTAAGTTATTTAAATCATAGTCATCACCCAATACTTCTTTTGTTGGGTGGTTTAAAGTACTAGACAGTAAATAAACTCGAAAGTTATCATTTAACAACCTTCTACGATATCTCAGAGGCAGCTCCCCGGTCAAAACTTGTAAAGCCTCCAAGGACACATTGTGTATTGTGCCTGTAATAATTTTTAAGGCTCTGTATTGGATAGAGTCAAGTTTTTTTTGTTAAAGATATACAAGCAGAATCATACATTTCACTCCCATAGTCCAAAATGGATAGGATAAGTCCTTTATAAATCATCATCAAAATCTCATACTTACTTCCCCAGGGGGTGCCGGAGACACAACGTAGCAAGTTTATTCTTTTCTTACATTTATCAATGATAGAATCTATATGGACAGACCAAGTTAAATTGGAGTCAAACCTCACACCAAGGAACTTATACTGCTCGCATATAGGCAGATTATGTCCTTTTATTTGTAGAAGAATATCTTTCTTTTGTTTGTTGGTAAAGACTATATACTGCAGATTTGGTAGGGGAAACGTTTAACTTCCACGTCCAACACCATATCTCAAGCTCATGCAGGGCCTCTTGTAATTTCCTGCGGGCCAGCTCTAAATCCTTATTTGAACACCAGATTGCAATGTCATCAGCATAGCATAACTTACATTTATCTTGAGATCATTTAACGTTAAAGTAAATAATAAAGGACTTAATGAACTTTCTTGCGGGATTCCATTTTCTAACGTGTAGTGGCGAGACATTTAGTTATTTATCCTCACATTAGAAATCCTACTCAATAGAAATGCTTTTATAAAAAGTAACATTTTTCCACCAATGCCTAAGATAGATAATTTTCTTAGTAGACCTGTTTTCCATAGCGAATCATATGCTTTTTCTAAATCAAGAAAGATCGCTACGGTATATTTTTTACTTTTCAAGGATATATGTATGTCCGTCTCCAATCTCACTATATATTGTGTGTGTGTGTGTGTATTGGGTTTTTACAGACGTGTATCAATCAGATATGATTATTTACGTCTGGGACCGACCTTTAAACGTCACCATCCGAAAGACGTGACTCAGTTTCGAACCTGCGTCCTCGGCTGAATCAGTTTGTAACTTCCACTTTTTAGCTGGATTACAGGCGCACGCCACAACGCCTAGTATATAGCTTAATTAATATCTTGACCTTGAGAGGGAGCTATTCAACATAAATTTTTTATTTTTTACAATTTCATAACTTTAGAGTCGATTTCGACCGCGACAACGAACACTGAATATTGTAGGATCGTATATGCTTCCAATATGTTCATTTGAACCATTTTCATGACCCCATACCAAAACGTTGTATTACCTTTAACCTAGGAAAGAATACAACAATTAAGCACAAAATTAGGATCCCACCCGTCGGACCCTAAATGCTAAAGCAAGTTTCAAACTAATAATATATACAGTTGTATATATTATAGATATATATATATATATATATTTATGTTTTTGTGTATTCATTGATTTTATTTCTCAAAGCTCCAATTCTTTTTCGTATATAACATAGTTTATACAAAACTGCAATTATAACACGGCTTTTTTATCATTTGATAAACAAACATAATTATACAACATAATTCATTGTTCAATATTACACAATGTATATTCATGACGAAAATATATCGCACTTACATAATAGAAATAGTTATTTCAACCAAAAGCTAGAACAAAACAATGTTTTTTTCAGAAAAAGACTGAATACTTATAAGAAAAATATTTAAACAAATAATGAGTTATATTTCTCAACATATTATTATACAAAATTGAAATTTTGAGTTTTTCTTTTATTATATTTACCCTAGGTTCAATTATAATTGTAGGGATGAAGAATAGACTATACTTAAGGCTCCCTAATTATTGACCCAGCCGGGAGGCGTTATTTTCTTGCACATGATAAACGATTAAATCAACCACCGGCATTAATTATAGCTCCAGTCTATTCCCGTGGGCAGACCGTATAGTTCAACTTGATTTTTTTAATGAAAAATGACTAGGCCTAAAAACTAAAACAGGTAGGAATAAGAATACAACAAGCACTAAATTAGGATCGTCCTCTTTAAATTGACCCTATATAGCAAGTTTCAAAACTAAAATGTGATATGGTTGAAACATAGAGATATAGTGTTTAGTAGTATATATCTCTATGGGTTGAAATCAGTTCATTATTTTGTAGGGGGTGAAGAATAGAGAGTCTCTTTTCTTCATCCCCCATCACCACCGAAATAATCTCCCATCCTCTTCATTTTTTAATCTTTCTCCTTCTTCCCCCTTTCTAGCTATTTCACTCCCTCTCCGTCCCGCTCTCCGTCTCTCTCATCCCCTCTCATCTCCCTCCTTTCTCCAGACACACACACTCTCTCTCTCTCTCTCTCTCTCTCTCTCTCTCTCTCTCTCTTTCTCTCTCTCTCTCTCTCTTTCTTTCTCTCTCTCTCTCTCTATCTCTCTCTCTCTCTCTCTCTCTCTTTCTCTCTCTCTCTCTCTATCTCTCTCTCTCTCTCTCTCACTCTCTCTCTCTTCACGGACCAAGCTCTCGCTTTATATATGCAGGGGCGGATCCAGGAATTTCTTGCCGGGGGGGGGGGGGCATACGGGGGGGGGGGCACACGGTGGGAAAGAGAACATAAGCGGGGGGGGGGGGTTAAGAGGACACTTTTTTTTTTAAATACAATTTTTTAATAATTTTTTTTTGTTGGGCCGGGGGGGGGGGGGGGGGGGGGGGGCTCGCCCCTGTTTTTCAGTTCATTTTGGGCGAATTTAGGGCTGATTTTAACTTCTTTTTTTTTGGCCCGGGGGGGGGGGGGGCTGGATCCGCCACTGATATGATCTATCTACCTTCAGCCGTATACGCCAGTGTTAAAATATATACTCCGAATTTAACTTTAGTTTTAGGGCTCTGACGAAATACATGTACCGTAACCCATCTCGAGTTTTATACCATTTCAGCAATGTTTGTAAATAAATAAACCACGTTTGAAATTTTATTTTGGGGACAACTGATTCCCCCCCCCCCCCCCCCTCCAATCAGTACGCCAGTGGGCCCTGATGATAAAAAATAAAATATAATAAATAAGAAGAAGAAAATTAAAACACTGGGTGAAATGGTTGGTTAAATGGTAATCACATGCCTTGAAGAAGAGCACGTACCCCTCCCCCTTCCCCCTTCCCCTTCCCCACTCCCACATCGGATGGATTGCTACTTCTTTCGACTATCGAGGTCCATGATTCTTGCGCAATTTGGTGTGACACAAAGAGCGTTCCATATACATTGCATGCTGCATCAGGAAAAAATATGGACAAACATTCCGGCGTTGAAAGTGGTCAGCCTTCTGTTAATAAAAGCCCAAATGATAAGAAAGATTACAGGTAATATTTTTTCGATGAACTGTTTCTTAGGAGTTTCGTAGTTTTAACATTTTAGTCTTGTTTTTATTCATTACACCTAGATCTAATTCATTTTTTACAAGTCATCGAGTATGCCCCACCTGATGTATTTCGCGTGTGTAAATTTACTGCTTAAATTGAGTAGCTCCTGGCTGCCCTCCAGCTCCATTTACAATTACATTTTAATTTTTATGACCTAAGTCATGATTATTTATTTTGTCCATTGTTATCATTTAATGTTGTCTGGTCAGAACTAAGCTTAGTCAGTACTGATTGTTATTATTTCTCTGTTTAAAATGATCATCAGACGAATAAATCAGAATTTCTATCTCAGATAAATTACCACAAAAAAAGAATAAAATACACTTTATTCTGTTCCATATGATTAACATTTGCATCTTTTATGTATAGGGTTGTGAAGCTAGACAACGGCATAACTGCACTGCTGATAAAGGATGTTGACAACACTAACAGCAAGGAAGATGATGAGCATGATGATGAAGAACAAGAGATGGAGGAGGAGGAGACGGAAGGAGGTGATGGAGCTGGGCTCGAAGGAGGAGATGGGAACTTATCTGTGAAGAGGAGGAAGCAGGAATCCAGCGGTACCGATGATGGAGAGATGGAAGAAGAGCAGGAAGAGGAAGAGGAGGAGGAACTAGAAGGAGGAGATGAGGAAGAGGAGGAGGGAGAAGAGTCATCCCAACGAAAGAAACCCAAGAAACAATCAAAGATGGTGAGGAGTTTGAAAAACCACTTATCAAAGTCTCATTTTGACCACCGCCTCTTTTTTTAAAAACTATTTACTATTCAGAAGAAGAAGAAAACAAAAAAACTAGTGATATTCATTTTGTTTAAATAGCTTTTGAAGTGACACAAATCATTTGTTTTGTCATACATTGCATCAGTATACTCACATAGCACAATATCTGTGAATAAATAGGCTTGGTCAGCTATAATTAGCATGGCAGCCATCTTGGGAAAAAATAGCAAAAAATAGTAAATTGTAATGCCCTGCCTCCTCTTTGAAAAACAAAGTCTGGACGAGAAACACATTATTGTTGTTATTTGGTCTTGTGTGTAATTTTGATAATACTTTCCATGGTATAAATATTAAATACCTGTAGAGTCGTGAGATATTATCATCCCTAAAGGAGTAGATCCTAAGGAATTCCATGAGGTTGTATATATATATATATATATATATATATATATATATATATATATATATATAAATGTGTTGTCTGTTCAGAGCTAGCAGAGAGTTTTCCATAGAGATAATACCTTTCTGGCTCCTAAAAGTTGATATCTTGCTTTCCATCACAGGAATTGATTTAATCAGCACCCATTTTTAATTGTAAAACCTTAAATAAAGGAAGATATATATTGTTATTGAATGTTTTTTTTCATTCCATGATTCTATTCAATATACAGGCAGCAGCAGCTCTCTGTGTTGGTATTGGTAGCTTTAGTGATCCAGACGATATCCCGGGGTTTGCTCACTTTCTAGAACACAGTAAGTCAATACTTTCCTCCTTAGAAATATCAATTAACAATATCCCTTTGAGTGTCCTAAATCCTAACCAATCTAACTGTGTCACACCGTCACATGTAACTTTTGTTAACGGTGTTTCTTGATTTCTTTTGCACGCTTTTTTCGGATTTTTGTATTTGGTCACTATAGAATGTTGAGGCATAAATAAAATGTTACAGTTAATGTGATATTACTTATGCTATGTAGCATTTTTGAAATGTTATACTTTAGTTGAACATTACATTAATGTATTCCAAAGTGATGGAAGGTCAGTTTAATTGTCAAGCAAAAGTCAATGCCTTACTTCTTTGTTGTTGTTGTTTTGTTTTGTTTATTTTGTTGACATGTTGCATATTTTATATATATATATCGTCGCTGTTTTCACGAAGTGACGGTAGCGAAAAAAAATTGCATTCACTTTGCGTTACGATATTCCTCACTACCGTCACTTCGTGAAAACAAGGACGATATATATATATATATATATGCCTAATTTATGTGTAAATTTCATTTACAGGTGAATGAGGAAAATCATGTACTCTGAATCTTTTTGTCTGATATGTGTTATGTATTTTTTAGAGTTTGCTTATTGTTTTTACAAAATAATATAGTACCTTTATCAACAATCTCAAATTTAAATCCATCTTTACGTTATTTTTCAGTGGTGTTTATGGGGAGTGCTAAATATCCCGATGAGAATGCTTTTGATGCCTTCATCACAAAACATGGCGGTAGCGACAATGCCTCAACAGGATTTGACAAAGTATGTATTATCAGGAAGTTCTTTGTTGCAGAAGGATAGAGAATATTTCACTTTTTTAACCTGTATGGCTTGAGCATATTCCCAAGTTGTGTATACCACTCTAATCTGGTACATGAGACCAAGCAGACGGCTGATTTAGTTTTACGTCAGCAAAATAAATGGTAACTCATGTGCGATTGAGTGCTAACTTTTTTGAAAGATATTGGAAATTATCTTATCCAGCAATTCTAGTAATTCCATTCACAATCTTCAAATCTGTACTTAGTTATATAAAATCATGCTTTGCCCCTCCCCCCCCCCCCCCTTTCCAGACCGTATTTCAGTTTGAGGTTCAGAGGAAGCACTTTCAAGAAGGTCTAGACAGGTTCGCTCAGTTCTTCACCGAGCCTCTTCTCAAGGAAGATTCGACAGACAGAGAGCTAGAAGCAGTGGATAGCGGTAAATATTTTTAAATTTTATTTCCAGGCAAGATGATAACATACAAAACATCACAAGGTTGACAAAATGATATAACGTATTAAAACATAATGATATTTAGCACCAGCCAATGCCTGAGGATCACCTAAAAGAATTTAAAAATTCTGTCTAGAGGCTCTCCACATTGGCTGGTGCATACATAAAACAAAATATAAAGATAAGGTCAACATAATTTATAAATGAATGTGTAACTAAAATTAATGTCTGTTACTATACGGTAATATACATGTACATCAAATACTGTTAAGATTATTATTAAGTATTTAGAATAGAGCATCCCATTTACTATTTCTTATAGCTTTGACATCACTAGTTTTAACTATGGGTGCGTTCAAGCGATTTTTTGAAGCTAGAATCACAAATCAAAACGCTGTTACAAAACAAGGTCACTGCGGGAAAGCGTTCAAGCGATTTTGTGTTAACGCTGATTCTAGCTCATTTCAAGCCCAGCCACTGCGCATCACACTGCACAGTTTGACCCATGAAGTATAGGTCAACTTTGGCGCGCACTTTCTGAAATTGTTTACGGCCGACTGTCGACTGCTGTTTTGAGCATAGATCGCAATAATAAAACAAAGAATGAAAAGGTGATAGAAGGAAGAAACAAAGAATAACATAAGGAAAAACAGAAAGAGAAAGTCGATAGAATGATGAAAACAAAGAGTAACATAATAGAAGGTGCTAAAAGGAAGAAACAAAGAATAACATAAGGAAAGACAACAAGAGAAAGTGATAGAATTATTAAAACAAAGAATAACATAAGAAAAGGTGATAGAAGGAAGAATCAAAGAATCACATAAGGAAAGACAGAAAGAGAAATTGATGGAATGATTAAAACAAAGAATAACATAAGAAAAAGTGATAGAATGAATAAAACAAAGACTAACATAAGAGAAAGTGATAGAATTATAAAAACAAAGAATAACATAAGAGAAGGTGATAGAAGGAAGAAACAAAGAATAACATAAGGAAAGACAGAAAGGGAAAGTGATAGAATGCTTAAAACAAAGAATTGCATAAGAAAAGGTGATAGAAGGAAAAAACAAAGAATAACATAAGAATAGAAGGAAGAAACAAAGAATAACAAAAGAGAAAGTGATAGAATTATAAAAATAAAGAATAACATAAGAGAAGGTGATAGAAGGAAAAAACAAAGAATAACATAAGAATAGAAGGAAGAAACAAAGAATAACAAAAGAGAAAGTGATAGAATTATAAAAATAAAGAATAACATAAGAGAAGGTGATAGAAGGAAAAAACAAAGAATAACATAAGAATTGAAGGAAGAAACAAAGGATAACATAAGGAAAGACAGAAAGAGAAAATTATAGAAGGAAAACAAGGAATAACATAAGGGAACAGGCCACGATAAAGAGCATGGTTAGTGAACGCAAATTGCATGAAAAGCAGGCGCGCGGTTTTTGCCCGAACCGGAACAGGCCACGATAATGACGCTATAGAATCATGATTGAGATCTCCATTCGTTCGATCGAATTTTAGCGACCGCGATTCTGCAGAATCATGATACAAAACGCATCTATTTCAGCATTTCATGTTTGTGTTTTTAAACACGTTTATTTTTACGACCGACGAAAAAATCGCTTGAACAAAACCTGTTTTAAACTACCAGTAAACGTCTTTAAAAATCATGATTCTAGGGTGAAAAATTGTTGATTGAACGCACCCTATGTTCCCCCTTTTTGCCTGTGGAGGTCAAATTTTGAGTCACGTTGAGTCACCGTATAGATTTGATAAGAGTCTCTCAAGGCATTCTATAGTAGATGTAATAGGCAATAAAGTGTAGCATGCCATATGAAGATAAACCTGCTGGAGGGTGATTTTATAAAATGAGTCTCATATCCCATTAGTCTTTTATACATTCAATTCCTCAAAATTTGAGAACAGTAATCTCTTGATATGATTAATGTTGACTAATGGTATTGTTGGGAATACATATATGCATATTCATGAACATCTAAATGTGTGTTGAGGTAGAGTCAGATTTGGTGAAGGGGAATTTTTTATAAGTGCAGCACTGCAGGTATTTTTTTTTGGTAATTTAGAATTACCTAAGTTTTGTGTGTGAGTGGTCAATATAATTATGTGCATGATCCGTTAGATCATTTAAACCCCTCATTCCATAATAGTAGTGACTTCAAAAATAATCATTAGTTTCAAGTTTCAAGTTTCATTTATTTCTCCTCAAGAGATCAACAGATAAAAATACATATACAAACAGACAAATGTATGACAATACAATACATAAGATGAATTATAAAAATTGAGGAAGGCAGTGGCCAAAAAGAGAGAAATAAACCTTGTAAGAGGCCAACCCGTTAAGAAAGTAAGATATAATATGTAACATAAAAACACATCAAAAAGGAACACAAAAAACGATAAGAAATGAAGTACCTGGTCAATGATGTATTAAAGGGATCGTTTAACAATGATAAATCTGAGATACACGGTCCTACATGTTACCAGTGTCTGTGATATGGTGTAATATTGAAGCCCTAAAAAATTCGCGCTTCAAAATGATCAAGAAGTGCCTCAACAAAGTAAAAATCTTTGAGTGACCGGTTTTACCATACTTGTTTTCCCCAATAGACTGTAGTGTTATGAAAACCGTTCAGCGAACGGTTTTCAAAATTTGTAATTCCAATCATTAATATCTTGATAATCAGACAGGCGATCGATCGGCTTGTAAAAGTCATGGAGTTCCTGACTGACCTAAATGTTTATAATTATCATTGCAGCATGAGCTAAATCAAGGATTTTTTCTAAAGGATCTAAGACAAAGTTACCGGATCCCTTTAAAGAGATTTTTCTTCTTGGACTTATATTTTGTTTTGCAGAGTTTCAGATGAGTGTACAGAACGACTTCCATCGTAAGCAGCAGATGATGAGTGTGTTCTGCAGGGAGGGGCATCCTATGGGAAAGTTCACTTGGGGTAAGCTCTTATGTAACATGGAGAAACTATGTTTTATTGATGCAAGTTCAAGTTCAAGTTCACTTTATTCAATACTTTCATTAAAAATATACAAAGGAAAACAAACATATAAAAGCTGAAATATAATTCATGTATCAATATACAACATGAGGATAACACAAGTGGAGAAGACATGATGAACAAGGGGGAAACATTCTAAACATGTACAGGTACATTAATGAAAGTATTTGGAGACTAGACAGGAAGGCCAGGCCTTATGTAAAAGTCTGTCTCCAGTAAATGTATTAAAGGTGAAATTCAAAGAAATTCACAAATATGTCAACTAATGTATCACTAGTAACTGGTAAGCTAACAGATGGCCATCGGACAAGTTTTAGGTCAACTACATATCGGATGATTTATAAAAATACAAATACAACCACCTCCATAGCAGCTGGGATATACGAGAGATTCACCGGAAAAGTAACGATGTTTTAATGACGTCACTATATGGACCAACACTGCCCAAGCAGACGACATCCCATAATAAATGAACATAATTGCAAAGCTATTATTTGTCAAATTATAATGAGTTTGGTGTATATAAATGTAATGGCATGTCAAACCATTCAAAAGGGGATATGACCGATTCTGATAACTAAAATCTTTTGCTTGTAAATGCACAGGATAGGGGTTAATTAACGATCAAAGAAACCAGACTTTCAAATTGAAAAGCCCCGTAATGATATTAAGGACGGCATTTGTTCCCTCTTGAAACGCCGAACACACCCCGGTGTGTGCAGCTGAATATACAATGGCGTCTTATTTGTTTACAAGCTACAGATTCCATTATTTTTGTATCGCTGCATTTGTCATCAAAATAAAACCATGCGCAGGGTTTAGAGTAAGGCAATAAATTATATATTAGCCTGACGGTAGTGAAGTAAGAGAAAGAACTCAAGAGAAGATGAAAACACAGGCACTGAAACTGTATGAGATGTCATGGGACATCGTCTGCTTGTGCAAGTCATGTCCATACTGTGATCTCACACATCTCAGCAGCGTTCGGAGAGCTCTTCAGGTGCTATGCCGCGGCTGTATTTAAGCGTTTTTTAATTTATAATAATCATTACTTTGAATGTTTCCAAGCATTGAATTTTGATAACCTTGTCGAATCAAAATTTCAACTTTGCAATAATGAAAATAAAGCTAGTTTTTAAAATCAATGAATATCTGCTTTGAAAAAACTAAGTACATTATTTAAATTTTTTATTTGTTATAAAAGGAAGAAAAAAGAAAATAATTTGCATTCACACATACCGGTACACTCTCTCCTATACACACCAACACACACTTTACAGTCTGATGAACATACATGTATATTCTGTTTTTGTCATAGGCAAGAATTGTGGGGTGGCTGTTTGGTGCCATGGGCAAAGAGGTATTATGAATAATCATGATATCAAATTGAGTTTTAGGCAGGTTGCCAGATATTATTTGCTATAGGCAGCCACGTGCAGGATAATTCAATCATTGTGCTAAAGCAGATACCGGTAACAGAATCGATCTTCCTGATTCAATTTTTCATGAAAATTAATCTTAGGACTAATTTATTCTCAAAAGTAATAGGACAGATTGATTTTGTAACAAAACTATTGATTTTGACACAGAATCACAAGTTAGATGCTGCTTGTATACACACCCTCAAGAAGATTACCGAGAGTTTTTTTCAGGACTCCTCAATCCTCTCTCTCTCTCTCTCTCTCTCTCTCTCTCACATGGTGCACCCGCAAGCCTACTGTATAGAATCACAAGTGTTACACATAGGGCCCTATAATTGTTATCAAGAGTGTTTCATGTTTTAATAATATAAAGAAATCTTTATAACCCATTTCTAGGATTTCATGAGCAAAATTATTATGGTATAAATGCCAATTCATGCCAAATTACATGATTTTTTTAAAATAAATGTAATGCTTCCTGGGAGAAATCTCAATTATTTAAACATATTTGTGGCTTACACCCAGTAAATAAGATCGATTGATCGATCTGTATTAAAAAACAAGTCCGAAAAAATCTTGGAACCAGCGGGACTTGAACCTGCATCTACTGCTTGCCGGGCAGCGACTGTACCACTAGGCCATCACTGGTCCATGGCACAGTCACGATGGACTAGAAACAAATACCCAAGCTCTCCTGATTCATTCTGACTTATTAATATTCATTAGTCCGCCATAGGACAATAACTTTTATTAATGTAATGCTTCCTGGAAGAAATTTCAATTATTTAAACATATTTGTAGCTTAATCGATTGATCAACTTGTTTTTCAATACAGATTGATCAATCGATCTGATTTACTGGGTGTAAGCCACAAATATGTTTAGATAAAATTACATGATGTTTGTCAAACTTTGCCAAAAGCATACACTACCTGTATCAATGTTATGATTATTATGTACTTGATAGGTAACTCTAAATCCCTGAAGCTCGACCCTGCTTCTAAGAGCATCAATGTTCATGAGAGACTTAAGGAGTTCAGGAAACGGATGTACTCGGCTCATTACATGACACTGGTGGTCCAGTCAAGAGGTATGTATGATAAGTATTATAATAATTATAATGATAGTCACATTTAAATAGCACTGAATAGAGTGAAACCTGTATATAAAGACTGCTCAAGGGAAAGATGAAAAGTGGTCTGTACAGGTAGGTGGTCTTAATGTACAGGCTCCTTCAGTACAGGTTTGAATGAAAAACCATATTCCTTGGAAACAAAAATGTGGTCTTTATAGACAGGTGGTCTTTCTTTACAGGTGGTCACTATAACAGGTTTAACTGTACTATGATCTTAATATTGTAATAATTTTTACTCCGGTCATTGGATTCAATTGCTAGATAAAAAACAGTGTTTGTCAATCTGTACTGATGGGCAACTAAATTTAAGATATAACTTTGCCTGATTGGCTAGTTGTACGGATATTACAAAGCAACTATAATTACACTTAAAGATAACCCTTCAACCAAAATAGTGTTGGTTAATCGGTACTGATCACCTATCTTATTTCTTGGTGAAATCATTAGTTTGAATAAAAAGAAAATACTTCTGATAAAAAGGTGAAGCAAGTGGATTGTGTATACAGGCCTGTAATTTTAGGATTTACATCACTGCTTAGGTAAATGGTTGCAACAAATTTTTTCGTACCCTGAATTGATTGAATGATTGTATTTGGTAGATTCTCTGGATGATTTGGAGCTTTGGGTGAGGGAGGCATTTAGCAATGTCCAGAACAAGTAAGTAGAAAATTAAATAGGTTACTTAACTTATTTGATTAATCCAATCAGTCCAATTTGTTTTTCTCATGATATCTCTTACTAAAGATAATAGATAGTATTCAAAGGATTAAGAGAAACAAACAACACTCCCATACATATCTATAAAAGATAAACATTTTTGTTATTGATAACTGTTAAATTTCCTCAAATAAAAAGTGTAAGAAAATTCAGAACCTGGATTTTGTTTGTTTCTGCTTCAAACATCTTCACCTTTCTCTATTTGCCATAGAAACTCAGTTCTTTGAAACCTTAGAGTAATACAAAAAATGGAAGGAATATAAATTCCATTGTTTGATCAATTCTTCAAATCTAGCCATACTGTATGAACTAAATAGTTTGGAGAATATTATTCATGGTTTTTATTTCTTTCCAACTTAGTTCTTTGGAGAGGCCCTCCTTCACATCCTGTGGTCAGCCGTTCCAACATGAGAAATTCCACAAGCTTTACAAAGGTGAGCTTGATTTCTTTTCTTTGTCTTGCTTTCCCTTTCCTCTGTTATTTCTAAATGAATCGTATTTAACTAATATTTTTATGCCTCCGCCACCGAAGGTGGTGCCGGAGGCATCATGTTTTCGGGTTGTCCGTCCGTACGTCCATACGTCCGTCCCGTTTGACCGTTATCACAATATCTCAAGAACCATTTAAGATTTAAACTTAAGACTCGGGAATAGTATTTATCACCATAGGAAGACGATCTGATTAGATTTTGGAGTACGTAGGTCAAAGGTCACAGGTCACAGAGGTCAACTTATGAAATTCCTTGTATTGAGTTTGTTAGCGCGATATCTCAAGAACCATTTGAGATTTAAATTTCAAACTTAAGGATAGTATGTATCACCATAGGAAGATGATCTGATTAGATTTTGGAGCACGTATGTCAAAGGTCAAGGGTCACAGAGGTCAACTTATGAAATTCCATACATTGAGATTGTTATCATGATATCTCAAGAACCACTGGAGATTTAAACTTCAAACTTAGTGATAGTGTGTATCACTATAGGAAAACAATCTGATTACATTTTGGAGCACGTAGGTCAAAGGTCAAGGGTCATAGAGGTCAACTTATGAAATTCCATACATTAAGATTGTTATCATGATATCTCAAGAACCACTGGAGATGTAAAAACTTCAAACTTAAGGATAGTATGTATCACCATAGGAAGATGATCTGATTAGATTTTGGAGCACGTAGGTCAAAGGTCAAGGGTCACAGAGGTCAACTTATGAAATTCCATACATTGAGATTGTTATCATAATATCTCAAGAACCACTGGAGATTTAAACTTCAAACTTAATGATAGTGTGTATCACCATAGGAAGACAATCTGATTAGATTTTGGAGCACGTAGGTCAAAGGTCAAGGGTCACAGAGGTCAACTTATGAAATTCCATACATTGAGATCGTTATCGCGATATCTCAAGAACCACTGGAGAATTTTCACTTCAAACTTAATGATAGTATGTATCACCATATCATAATATCTCAAGAACCACTGGAGATTTAAACTTCAAACTTAATGATAGTGTGTATCACCATAGGAAGACAATGTTATTAGATTTTGGAGCACGTAGGTCAAAGGTCAAGGGTCACAGAGGTCAACTTATGAAATTCCATACATTGAGATTGTTATCATGATATCTCAAGAACCACTGGAGATTTAAAATCCAAACTTGTTTAAATTGCTCTATGGCGGAGGCATCATTTTCGACTGCGCGCAGTCAAAATTCCATCTAGTTTTTAATAAGATATACTGGATTACCATATTTTTTTTAAAGTATCTGGAGATGTTCTAGAAAAGTTTTGTCCCCTAATTCAATGACATACATGTATTAGCTATATGAGAGGGGATTCACTATTCCTGGCCATGATTGATTGGCAAGTGAATGAGAAAAGAAAGAGAAGATATTGGAAACAGGACTTTGAGAAGAAGATGACACAATAAATAAACTTACATATAAGCCTATAATTCATTTACATATTGATTAATTTGACAACCTTGTAAGACCAGTGCATCCCCCCCCCCCCCCCCCATGACTGGTCTCATGCTTTACCGCTGGTTCTTGTAAATTGTTCAGTTTATATCTTCTTCTATTTCATCCTACAGTTGTACCAGTCCAAGATCAGCATACCCTGGACCTGACATGGTCCATGCCCTCTCAACAGAAACACTACAGGTAGTTACCCAACGTGGTTTATAAAGGTTGAGTTCTGTGGAGAGGTGACAAAACATTTGAAAAACATGAGAGAACAAATGTTCCTTGAAAAGCATGGCTCTTCAAATGCCTTCATATTCTAAATATGACATGTAACAGCTTAAAAACGAAGATCACATTTGTATGCCACATGTTTGTGTAGTCCCATATACATCTTTCTGTGTGCAGTGCTTGTTACTGGGCCAAATTTCTTTTCATTTTGATGATTCCAGAACCTTGCAGTACGCACCAAAACTTAGATGCCACATGATCATCTTTTTCTGATCGATTCCACAATGTTTCTTTCATATTGCAATCGCACGACCAGAACTCGACTTTATCTTTAAGTGTCATATTCTTGACATTATTACATTATCTTTTGATCTGAAATGCCAATAATGAATAATTAATGAATGATAAAGGAGAAAGATCATAAATGAATAAGATATTTGAATCAATTTCTGTTGCAGCATGTTTATAATATTTTTTTCTAAATTATGAAACATGATTCTCTCTTGATGCAGAATGTATGTTCCCACTGAGCTTTTTATACACTTTCAATTTGATTGTCTAATATGGTTTCAATGCTGAAGATATTATTGATGATTCTTGTTCTTGTGTGTGTAATTGCTTCACTTTAATTGCTATCAATATATTATGCAATTAGGAACAATAGCCAGTTCAGGTAGCAACAGACAGCTGGTCATTCCAGCAGTCCCTGTATAAAAGAGAGTCCCACTGAAATAGGCCAATCTAATTGGGTTGCTGCTGCTCAGATGATGTCATATATCACCCATCTATTAATAATGTGAATAAACTTTTATAATACATGTAATGTGATAAATTTGTGGAACGCGCAAGGTGATAGTAAGGAAATGTATACTTATATTGGAGAAAGACTGCTTCCTTTGAAATGGCTTTCACTATCATTATCTTACTCCGCAGATGCAAACCTCTTCACTATCTTGGCTGGTTGCTTGGCCATGAAGGAAAAGGAAGCATTATGGCTCTTCTCAAGAAACGGTAGGAATGTTTAATCATTCAGGATGATCATCCTACCGCCTAACCCCCCCCCCCCCCTCAACCAATCCTCAGGAAACAAAAAGAATGAATTTACCCCCCCCCCCCCTCCTGCCTTATGATGGGATAAGGAGAAGGGCGCTATAAGGACAATAGCTGCTTTCATTTCTAATATCCAATTCTATTTACTACGGATTTCATTCAAACTCTGGACCGTTCTGCTATTACCCTTATCTTCCTGATATAATATGTACATTTGTCCTTAACTAGAAACTGAAATAATCAGTACAAATGATGGTGAATGACATAGCATAGAGGGGCATTTATATTGTGCTATTACTGATAATGTAGCAATACAATTGGTAAGACTTCTTTTTCCTACCTGTAAGTTACAAGTAACTGTAAACAAAACATATTTGATAAAATATTTGACAGATCTTAGAAGAAGAGAGTTAGGCATGAAAGTACAATACTCCTTGGTTTTATTAAACATCCAAAATATGTGTATTTTCATTATGTTGTAGAGCTCTGGCATTGAGGTTGTACTGTGGTAACTCAGAGAGCAGTACCGAACACAACGAGACGTACGCTGCGTTCAGCTTCAACATCGTACTCTCCGACGAAGGCCTGAAGAGAGTGGACGAGGTAAATAATTGGGACTTTATTTAGTTTCTCTTTTCTTCTTTCAAGTAGTACAAATTTCATGATGTGTCTAAGTGAGTGGATGTTTGATTTGTTGATGACCCAGTTAAATAGAATTTTGCAGTTGTTGGTGCTAGTTCAGAGAAGATTTGGTCAAGCACATGAAGTTGTTAAATTGTCTTAATCCTCTTGAAGTTCTGGTATATTCTTGTTTCTTCTTTTCATTGTCATTGCCTCTTTGAATCTATATTCCTCCTTTGTCCACTTGCTTATCTTTCTTCTTCTTCTTCTTCTTCTTCTTCTTCTTCTTCTTCTCCTTCTCCTCCTCCTCCTCCTCCTCCTCTTTCTCCTTCTCCTCCTCCTCCTCTTTCTCCTCCCCCTCCTCCTCCTCCTCCTCCTCCTCCTTCTCCTTCTCCTCCTTCTCCTCCTTCTCCTCCTCCTCCTCTTTCTCCTTCTCCTCCTCCTCCTCCTTCTCCTCCTTCCCCTCCTCCTCCTCCTCCTCCTTCTCCTCCTCCTTCTCCTCCTTCTCCTCCTTCTCCTCCTCCTTCTCCTCCTTCTTCTCCTTCTCCTCCTCCTTCTTCTCCTCCTCCTCCTCTTTCTCCTCCTCCTCCTCCTCCTCCTCCTCCTCCTCTTTCTCCTTCTCCTCCTCCTTCCCTTTCTCCTTGTTTCTACCTCTTCTCTCGCTTCTTCTTCTCCTTTTCTGTTTTCTTATTCACTCTGTCTACCATCATCTTATTCTTCTCCCTTTCCTTCCTCATTTTTCTTCTGTTGAGACGTGGAACAAATCAACACGTTATGATTTTTTCATCTGTTCTCACTCTCATTTCTTATTATTCTTGTCGTAGGTGTTGGTGATTATCTTTCAATATATCAACATGCTGCTCAAGGAAGGCCCACAGAAGAGGTACTTTCCAGCATTTTTAACTTTGCATATTTTCGTCAAAATCAATTTTGCCTCCTTTGTCACTTGTCATTCTTTGATGTATGTGTTTGGAATCTCCTCTCTTTTTATTTGGGTGACTTAAGTTTTGTGTATTCTTGTAATATCATTTATCTTTATAACAAATCTGAAATATTGGAAGAAGAAACTTTGAAGTTGAGATTTGAGGCGTGATGTAGTTCATGTAATGAATATAACATTAAAGTGGTGCTCTTCTATATTGACAACCATCAAAGCTATTGATTGAAACTACATTCATAATGTAGTCAGATGTAATCTCATGGAGAAAAAAATTACAGAGGGCCACACTGCTAGAACAATTTAGACATGATTAGCACATTCTAAATTTCACATGATTAGCACATTACTTTCATGATCTGAAGATTTAAAAGATCATGTTTGCACAATGGAACAAATATTAATTTACGATATGCAATATTTAGTGAAATTTTCTTTTTCTTTCTATTTTTTCATTTTTTTGCCCCAGAATATTTGATGAAATCAAGATAGTGGATGACAATGTCTTCAGGTTCTTCTCAGAGGTTAGTCCATGAAACTAAAATGATTTTAGTTTTGACAGTAGTTTATATACCTACATAAAGAAAACATGCTGATTCAAGTGACAGTCATTTGTGAAGAAAGAAATAAAGGTTTAATGTGACCATACCAAAGAGGGAACTTACTTTGCAATGACCCTATTTGCTATTACTGGTAATCAATAAAACATACAAATATTTTTTTTTGATTTGATTCATGTATTTGATTTGTTTTTGTTGTTGGGAGGGGGGGGGGGGGGCTTTACACATAAAACTGTACTTGTACAAATCAAGCACTTTTTTGTACAGGTTTGTACTATCCTGGTGTCAAAGTGGTAAGTTCATGACAGCTTGGGCATATTTCTTTAGTAATTTCTTATGGTGAGTAATGATCTATAGGGTATCTTTAAGTGAAGATCTGGCACTTACTTGTGGGGTTCAGAAGCAACTAATTTAAATGCCCTGTGTAGAATGTAGCTGAAGAGTATATTTTCTTATCTCTCCTAGATGGACCCTATAGACAACGTAGAGGACATGTCAGAGAGGATGCACCTGTACCCCACAGAGGAATACATTACAGGCCCTCTAATACAGACAGAATACAATGAACAGGTATCTCCTTTGCTACTAAAAATGAAATGGAAGCTCTTATTACCAATCATGTGAAAGAATATGTTTTTACTAATAGGTGAGGATACAAATTTTGCCGGGAAATCGCCTACTAATTGATATATTTGGTAAATTATCATATCGGTCCGGCCTGGATAGATATCGCAAATGCATTTCAACATTGAACATTGAGTATTGCCATTTAAACCTCTGAAGGCAATATTTAAACAATATTGAATGGATATTTTGCACCCCAAACCCTTGAACCGCAATTTTACCACTATCAGTCTTTACCTTTAAGTAATGCAAAATGTCTCTACTCCAGAGTTATAATGACACATCTATATTCAGACATATGCCTGAAAACTGACAAGTCTAGATACAAGTTCCCTGTATATATGTAGAAATCTATTTTTGTCTAATATATTTATAGTATCTTAAAAACCTGACTGCACCAGTCAACAAACTAAGGTAAGATTGGGTTCAAAAAGTCTTGCAGGCTTGTTTAAAGCCTCTTGACTTTATCACGAAATGTTCCTCTTTGCATGAGGATAGCGATGTCTTATTTAATAATCATTGCACAAGGCTGACCGGTGGTTTAGGACTTTTGTTGTTATGTGATGGATATGTAGCGATCAGGCAATCACTTTTCCCTTGTCCATTTTCACTCACATTCTGCACTTGAATCATTCTGGTACTTTGAAATATAATTGCTCTTTTTATTTTGAATGAGGGGCTCAAAAATATACATCTCGTCCTTGTTTTCACGAAGTGACGGTAGTGAAGTAAATCGTAACGCAAAGTGAATGCAATTTTTTTTCACTACCGTCACTTCGTGAAAACAGCGACGATCTAGGTATTGATAGTGTTCCCTTCTTTGTGCACTTCTGGGCCCCGTTTCACAAAGCCTTTTTTTCAATGACAAATTACAAAAATCAGTGACAAATCTGCCGATAACCAATCAGAAGGAAGGATTTCAGTAGCTTATAACAAAAACTGACATTTGTCACTGATGACAAGTTTTGTGAAGCACCCCCCTGATGTGAGTCATACTAAATGTTTTTTCCTCAATTTCTTTTTTACTTTCCTCTCATACACCACCATACGTGATCAGCTGATCAGGGAATGCACCAATCACCTGTCTCCAGAGACAGCCAACATCATCATCTCGTCCAAAGAGTTTGTTGGTAAGACGGATCAGAAGGAGGAGTGGTTCGGAACCGAGTTCATCGTCCAAGACGTCCCAACAGAGTGGAAGGCAAAGATGAAGAGTAAGTAGCAGGCTTTTAATTTCTTCAGACGTAGAGGCAGGCAACTTTTTTTCCTTTTTAGAACAGACCAGTTCATGGTTAGCACAAGTCCCAAATGACCCTGTATATCCACAGATCTTCAAAACATGAAGAGGTCCCACTTTGTAGATTTTTAAATAATCATTCCTACAGCGATGGAGGTGCTACATAAATTATAAATAGCCTTTCTTCCCCCTTTTCAAAAATACTACAATCTGTGTATCATGGAGTGCACTGCTTGTGCATACATGAATAATGATCAAATAACTTTCATGAGCGCATATTCAGTATTTTGTCTCCGTGTATTTCACAATTTGGTCTGCAATGACCTTTATCTGCTCATGCTCAGACTGCAACTATGAACTGGCTTATTGTCCATATGTGACATGACACGGTGGTAAACTGATGTGGCAGAATAACAACTTTTGTATGCGTAAGGGAAGGACAAGAGAGGATGAGAAAACAGTATTTGCATGTAACAATGTCCCTTAAGCATACTCTTGTATTTAAGTGTTATAAAAATGCAGAAGTGCACCATAGTAAAGTTGGCTCAGTCAGCAGAGCGTCCGCCTCACAACCGGGAGGTCGTGGGTTTGCACCCCGGCCGGGTCATACCAAAAGACGTTAAAAGACGGGAGTTGCTGCTACCTTGTTTGGCGTTCAACAATAAGGGATAGAGCAACGTCGATCTGACGCTACTCAGTGGCTGCCGGGCTCACAATCAATTGGGCAAAAAGAATTTCCATTTTCGGTTTAACTTAATAAAATTTGGAGTGGACCTTAAAAGGTTATTATTATTATTATTATTCTGTTTTCCTACAGCTGCAGCTTATCTTTTGGGGAACCTTGAAAGGGTACAAAAGCCAAGACACTGTATACAATAGCCATAAGGGGCATGGCTGAAGTAGATATTAAAACACATAACACCTAAAGTAAGTCGCAGAATAATGGTTGTTCTTTGATTTTTCTTTAAGATGCTGGTTTGAACCCTGATCTGTACCTGCCGACACCCAATAAATTCATTGGTGAGTTTTTGTCTTTTATATAACCTGTTCATTTTATCAGTAGTAATGCATGCTTAGGGCTTATGCTGTACTTGCAATTGTTGGTCATAATTTTGGAAACCATCTAGAATTGCTCTTCATGAAATTCTGTGAAAGTTCACATATTGTATAGTGTTTTAGACCATATTTACGTTGTGTATTGTCAACTGTTTTTTTTAGACACAAAACTCTTTTAGTGCTTGAAAATATTGATCTATATGTTGACCTTTGTTATATTTTTACTGTTTGAGAAGAAATAAATTTGAATTGAATTGAATTGATTGAAATGACTTAGATTTTTTTAAATCTTGTTGTCAAAAAATAAATTGATTGGACTTAGATCATCTTACGGCTTAATATCCACTAGTCCTACATATTTCATTTTCATTTAGTTATTTCTGCATCAAAATAAAAACAAGGTATATTCAGAATCTATTGAAGATATATTTAAGATATATTCAAAATACAAACAAAGATATAAGATAGCTCGTGGGAGGATCATGAAAAGCACATAAATGGCTCATTAGAAATGTTTTAACAGAAAAGTAGCAATTTTTCTTCAATTTTTAAATCTCTGCAGCAACTGAATTTGACCTGAACAAGCCTGATGTACCAGACACAGATTACCCAACATGCATCTTGGATACAGAGCACAGCAAGCTATGGTATAGACGAGATACCAAGTTCAGCATGCCCAGAGGTATGTACAATTTTTATATTAAAAAAAATATTATCTCTCCAAACGAATACATTTTCTGCAATAAAATTGGAGGTATTAACCCCTTAGCTCTCCTTTATCTTTTACAACTCTCTCTCTTTCTTTTTCTTTCCCTCTTTTTCAGTTTCTGTTTTCCTCTCTCTCTCTCTCTCCCTCTCTCTCTCTCTTTATCTCTCTTTCATTGTTATTGATTTTTTTTAATCGGTCGAACTGTGTCTCTTCACTAAATGTACTTTTTTTTCTTTGATCCATTCACTTGTAATCAATTGGAATGAAAATTTGAAGAGATAAATGTAGTGAGTACTGCTTTATTTTTTACCCTTTTTTCTATGTGTGCCAGCATTCATGTACTTCCATATATAATTTACTGATGTGAAATTTGCAGGGATGAACGTTGTTTAAAAACACCTGTTTATTCATTCCTTTGACAGCATCCATGTACTTTCACTTCATGACCCCTCTGGTCAACCTCTCTCCCAAACACGCCGTGACCTTTGACCTGTTTGTGTGCCTGTTGGAGCATCAGTTGACGGAGACGGCGTACGAGGCTGAGGCGGCCGAGCTGAGCTACACACTGAAGGCCTTGGAGAGTGGGCTTGAAATCAAACTCTACGGTTTTAATCACAAGCTTCCAGTAAGCGACATTGTACTCTAAGAAAGAATTCTGAATATAATTATGTCTCTGCACTTGTGCTATCATTATTAAGCAGATGAGAAGAACAACAAAAAATTTGTTTGGCAAAATTAAACATGAACATATTTGGTTGATAATTTTTTTAAATAAATGTTAAAGATGAACTTAAGTTCTGGTAAAAAAAGAAAATAAATTCTCACAGAATCAAACAAAACTTACACTGTATGTTCAAAATTACAATATATATGTCATTTCACAAACATTTTTGGTAGAAATGTATAATGGCTGAGTAATGAGCATAGAAAGATAAGGAAATCATGGTGTCGGGCCCCGACACCATTTGTGTAGTCCCATATATACATCTTTCTGTGTACAGTGCTTGTTACTTTACCGAGACTGGGCCAAATTTATTATGATTTTGATGACCCCAGAACCTTGTAGTACACACCAATGCTTACATGCTACATGATCAACTTTTTCTGATCCATTTCACACCTTTTCTTTCAGAATGCAATCGCATAACCAGAACTCAACTTTATTTTTAATTTAGATAACAAAAGTCCAATTGTAGTTGCTCAAGAAAAAAAGAAAAAAATATACATTCATTTTGTGTGTTATGAATGTAAGGAAATCCACTTTGCCACATATTCTCTGTGCTGCCTGCATTTCTGTTGAGTTTTGCCTTTCCCTAATAACAACAAAGAAATCCATAAACTGCACATCCGTCATTTATTAGGTTTAGAGGTCAAAGTTAGAGGTCAAAGTTGTGCTTGACCTCCAGTCATGTGTAATAACGTGTCTCTTTGAAAAAGAGTTATCTTTCCCGATTTCTTTTCTTTTCTGTATTTTTTCAACATAATAAAAAGGAATATATAAACTAGGAACATATGTATTATTAACAAAAGTCAATATATATATATAAATATATATATATATATATAATCATATCATAAAATATATCAGTTAATTATTTATATCTTTCAATAAACACATGGTTGACAAATCATTTCAAAATTGAAAAATGCAGGAGACCACCATCTTTAGCTCGATAGAAGAACGAGATACCCATACTAAGCTAGCAAATTATATATTAGGAGCATTTAGTTTCTCCCATCAAGTGAACAGAACCTTCTCCCATTCATTCCAATTATATCCATTGAACATTTTTGCCTCAAAATTGTATTACATATATATATTTTGTCTTGTAAAACCAAAATATTCACTCATTCTTCTCTCTTCTTGTAGCTTCTGTTTGAGACTATCGTGGATGTTATCGCAAATTTTACCTTCTCTCAAGAAATGTTTGTGGCTGTGAAGGAAAACCTGAAGAATTCTTACCATAACTACATCCTCAAGCCAGCCAAAGTCTGCAGGTAAATCTACATTAGGCCTTAACAAAAAGATGTTGTATTGCCCTTTAGGTGCTAAAACATGGGTCGGTCGGTCGGAAATCTTTTTTTTTTTTTTTAATTCTCCCTCTTTGAGCTGATGGGGGCTTTGCAAGAAATTTGAGTTGCGTTAATCGCAAGACTTGTGCTTGATTTGGGGGATTTTCAATTGATTGCAACTTTCTTGCAACGCCCCATATGCGTTCTGTCTGGTTCTTTGTAGTTTATTTGTTTGTTGTGACCTTTAACGAGAGTTGCAAGGGTTGTACAATATTTCCTCCTGTGACATTTGCTACATCTCAATTTCCTACACTAACCGAACTCTTAAAACTGTTCCATTTTAATAGTTTATTTGTTTGTTGCCTTCCAGGGACTTGAGACTGTCCATCCTTCAGAAGGTCAAGTGGACAGCGATGGACAAGGACAGGGTTGTCCAAGCGGTCAGCTCGACGGACGTTATGAACACGGCCAAAGACTTCCGTTCCAGGTTTTTCTTTGAGGCAATGGTGCAGGGCAATTTCTCCTCAAAGGTAATTTATTCTTAAAGGTAAAGACCAGTTTTGGAAACGCTCCCCCCCCCCCTCTCAAAAAATGAAATGGAAGCTCTTATTACCAATCATGTGAAAGAATATCTTTTGACTAATATGTGATGACACAAATTTTGCAGAGAAACCGCCTACTAATTGATATATATATATATTATATATATTTGGACCAGATAGATATCGCGCATGTGTCACGCATGTGTCGCATAGTCCCATATACATCTTTCTGTGTACAGTGCTTGTAACTTTAACAAGACTGGGCAAAATTTCTTTTCATTTTAATGATTCCAGAACCTTGAAGTACACAACAATACTTATATGCTAGGTGATCAACCTTTTCTGATCAATTACACAACAATGCAATCCCAGAACCGGTCTTTATCTTTAACCCTCATCTCGTCAAAATGTCTGTACTTTGCCCAATTCTTGGCCATACAAGGTCATGTGTTTTTTTTTGTCCAGACTGTTTAGTGTCTTTCGTCTTGGCCTGTAAATTAGTGATTGATTGCTAATTTTTCAAATAATCACAATTGATGACAAGGTAAATAAATTGAGCTATGCTTTGTGTCACAGGACCTAGGGGTCTATCTTTTCATTGTGACTGGTGTACAACCAAAACATAGACATAGTACATGTACCATTATGATGTCTAAGATGCACTCTCTCTTAAAGGTAATACAAAGTTTTGGGAAATTTTGAAAATTGGGTGGATAGTTATTCTTTACAATTTGGATATATTTGGACGCCTCTGTGGATGTATTTTAAGCACTAGAATATTTAGCCTCTAAAACACTTCTGCTTTCGAGAAAAATTTAATATAAAAATTTACTGGTGCTCCCGGTAAATTTTGATAAATTTCAAATAGCGCCTACGGCCGTACAATGGTAGCTGCACATGACCATGACAATCTCAGAATATGTAGATGTGATATATAACTTCCAAACTAGAATAGCAAATTGGTCGGTTTTAGTCAAGAAACATTGTTTTATAGCTTAATTGATATCTTGACCTTAAGAGGGAGCTATACAACAAAAAGAGTGTATTATTTACAATTTCATAACTTTGGATTCGATTTCAACCGCGACAACGATCACTGAATATTGTAAGATCGCATATGCTTCCAATATGTTCATTTCAACCAAATTCATGACCCCATACCAAAACTTTGTATTACCTTTAAATCATTGAAATTTCCGCAATAACTGCCGACTATTAACCCTGTAACTATACTTTCTTTGTTGTTTTTTGTTTGGTTTTATTTCTGCATTCAAAAAGATACAAATTCAAAGTAAAATGATGAAAATTTAAAACAATTTCTGGAGAGATTTTGTAATGCTACCATAGTATTGGGTATACCAAGAGGGGGGGGGTACCGCCCTTGATTACAAATGGTAAAACTTCCAATTAATGTTTTTATTGTCCTTTGTAGGAGTTCATCAGCCTAGAGCAGTACCTACGGGAGAAGCTCAGCTTTGCACCCATCCCTGAATCGGAGAGACCTGTCACCAGAGTGATGGGCGTGCCAGGGGGGTGCCACACCCTGAGATGGAAAGCATACAACCAGTCCGA